AGTCCACAAATGAGAACACGGTTGAACAGGAAATAGATTATATTCTAAATAACACGGTTAGATGGAAGTAAGGAGCACAATAGGAAAAACGTTAGCATATTTATAGTTTTTACATGAGAAGATTCCTAGAGTATTCTTCAGGTGTCGACTAGCGCTGATTCCATAATAATTAGCCAATCAGCGTGCACCAACGCGAGCGTGCATTGAGCATGATTTAACCCAGTCCATGTCCCGTTAACAATTTCAATGAATGTCATTATGACCTTTTTGATTATTCTTTCCAGCATTTTAACTACGACACTAAATGAGGTTGACAGATCTGTAGTTTGATGAAGTTTGTCTTGATCCTATTTTATGAATCGGAGCGACGATTGAATCCTTCCAGTCAATAAGTAACTCACCTTGATCAACTGAAATAGTGTATTTGGGTTTAGTCCTTCGCTTAGAGGAGGCTCTTGAATGAAGACTATCTAGAAATAGTCCGCCATGGCCTCTGCTTTGTGTTGGATTTCCTCTTTCATTTGATGCACTGCCGTAAATAGGTTGAGAATCCAATGGTACGTTCCCGTTCTGTAATTTATGTACGAGAAAAGTCTCTTCGGCTGCTTGATTACAAACTGTGTCAACCGCTATTCGTATTTCCCCGGAGCTTCCCAGATTGAGCTCATATACTTACTTCAGACGGAGCTTTTGCGTTCCATCGTATTCGTTGTGTCAAAGCTGATGGTGATGTTCCAACATTTTTTCGTCTTAGTAAATATTAAGTGTCTCGGTTTATCCAGAGATGGCCATGCTTTTTCTTCTTTGGAACTGTCCAGGGTATAGATGGTTGAGTTATTTAACTGTATAACTGCTGTGAGTCCAGGCCTCCCCTACTGATTCGCCAGAGTCTATTTCCCAGTTTTCAGTCGAGGCTGCTGAGTTAATCACCTTGATATCTGCTTTCCATATATTAAGACTGACCGGCACAACTGCTTGACAGACTATATTAACCGTAAACTCCCTATAGATAGGGGAGGATCTTCATTTGAATGACATCATCACCGTGGTTGAAGACTAAATTCAAGACAGACGAGGAGTTTTGATAGTCGTGTGTGTTGAGATAAAGCCGGAGAAATTGTGGTTTCTAGCAATTTGTAATCAAATGATGGTTGTGATAACCCTACTTCTAAGTTTTCCTGATTTGCAGTGTGCATTAAGGTCACCTACCATAAGGCTTTTACACATGTTTGGCCAGAATATAAGTTTATTTAGGATGAAGTCATCCACTACACATTCCGGACTGTGATGTACTACAACTAATTAAATGTCTTACCTTTTGCATTTCAGATGGCACTGCGCCAGCTCACATGTCTCTGAGTCGTGTGACTCTCGATAGCTCATATGGTTAATGTGCTCATTATGCACAGGATAACACCACCACCTCTAAAGTTTAGTCTGTAAGCCCAACAAAGGCACCAAACAGTTGAATTTCACTACCATGAGCTTCTGGAGTTAACCACGTTTCTTATGGAAATGGCATTAGGTTTTTCTGTATCCACTGCGGTTCTGAGCTCCGTCATTTTATTGAGCAGGTTGCAAGCATTTGTATAGCATATCTTTAATTACGTGAAATGCTATCCCGTACCACCCAGAGTGGTTTGGGCATGGCTTTACTGTGAACGTTTACAATGTGAAAACCCTTAAGTACAAGGTTCTTTTAAGAGGCGACTTGCTTGAGTACTTTTAGAGTCTACTTTTTGTCCTATTCTGTGAAGCAATATTAATGCTAACTCCTAATACTGTTTTGGGCAGTAGCTGGTTTATTGAGGACTAAATGTAGCTTGGATCGTGACTCAACTAAGCCTATGATTCTTTTTCTGAAGACTCTTTTAAATTACAAGAAAAAACAAACCTCTCTGCGAAGTATTTTGACAAGCATTGAGACTTTTGATTTCTAATCTCTTTGCATCTTCGCAGTTCTATTTGGCAAGAAACGTGCAGGTCTCGCTTTTTTTCTTCATTCTTTAAATGTTACTGTCAGCCAATCATTGACCTTATATTGATTGCTGATCGAATCATCTACAACGTCCAGGCTTTGCTCATGAATATTCTATTTTGTGTTAATATGGGGATGAGTATGGGGTTCTGTAGTTGAAACTGTCAACTCACACACTTTAGAGTTTGCTGTAATTTGCATTTTCTTTGCTTGCATCTTTCACTTGTAATTATGCCTATATGTATTTATCACCCACTAAACTGTGGTGGTCCATCTTGATGATTTCATTCAAATCTCAAGCTGTACTCATGAAGACGTCATTGCATCCTTGAGATCTGGCAGCTGCTCATCTCCTACTGGTTCTTTGTCTGATGGCATCTTTCTATGTGTTCAGTAGCTCAATAGGCTCAAGAATCCGTAGAAATACGTGGAAGGCCTAGTAACGACAGCGGAGAAAGCTGTAAGAGAAGGAAATATCAAACAACTATATGACACAACGAAGAAACTGGCATGGAAATATAGTAAACCGGAGAGACCAGTCAAGGACAAAGAACGAAAGTCAATCACCGACATTCAAGAACATAGGAGCAGATGGATAGAAGATTTCGAGAACCCCTTGAAAAGGTCATATCCATTGAATCCACCGGATATTGAAGCAGCACCTACAGACCTTTCCATAGATGTCACTCCAACGATCGAAAAAATCAGAATGACCATCAGACAAATCAACAATGGGAAAGCAGCAGAACGTGACAATATACCAGCCCAAGATCTGAAGTCAGACACAAGAGTCACTGAAAACATACTCCACGTTCTATTTTGGAAGGTTTAGCAGGGAGAACAAGTTCAGACAGACTGTAAAGAAGGACACTTCATCAAGATACCAAAGAAAAAAGATCTGAGCAAATGTGAGAACTCAGCTGCAGAGGCATCACACTACTATCGGTACCAGGAAACGTCTCCAACACAGTGTTGCTGAACCGGATGAAAGATTCTGCAAACGCCCAACTTCGAGAACAACAACAGGATAATTAAGTGGTTTTAGATCCTAACTTAAACTTCCTTTTTAGGGGTTTAACTTTATTAACTTGATTTATAATCCAAAAATATTTAGTAAAATAGGCCACTAAAGAAACTGACAAAGGAATGTAGTTCAAGATTAATCCGAAAGTTTATAACTGAATCCTCTTTGTTGTTCTGGATTACACTTTATTATTCCAGTGAGTCAGGTAACAATTAATTTTTATTTGTAAGGTTTTGGCTAAAATAGAAGGCTTAAAATTATAATAATTTGATTAAATTAATTATGAGACAACTCTTACAGAGAAACCTGCATGACGAGAAATGTTCTTCAGTTGTATTTTGAATGCCTCTGAAGTGAAAGTATTCCGTCTAAGATAAGAGTATGGACAGTTCGGATTTGAGCAAGTAGATACACCATCTGTTTTACATTCAAAGCCATTATTTTCTTTAGATATATCAGGTTTTGAATTGTTCATGCAGTCACATGTAAGTGTAGATGTATTTACTGGTGAAATTTTATCAGTTTCGGCATTACTTTCCATTACTATTCGAATTTCTACAAAATTATATAAACCACATATATAAAACAGATTATCACAAAACATTTTTTACATTAATGAATATTGTTCAACCAATCATCATATTCGAGTCCACCAAGACAACTAATAATAAAAAACGATGTATTTCATTAATCATCTGGAAATTGATGGACTAAGTCAAAAGGTGCAATAATTTTAACAGATTATTGGTTGAACGTCGGTTGATAAGGTAGGGATTCAAACAAATAACACCAAGTTAGTTACTTATTTAATTTAGAAATACTATTTTAAATTATAGCACTTCAATATCAGTGGTTCTTAAAAGAGCAACAATGTGACTAAAAATCGGGAAAAGCTGCACGATTTTTGAAACGTTATTATATGGTTATTGACAATAGCTGTGTGTTGTAGGGGAAATTATACTCACTAGTCTTATGTGAAAACGGTACTTTTTCTACAAAAATAGTGATAATGAATGCATATTATTAGGATAAGGTGTATGTTTAAGGAAGATTTACTGAAAGAATTAGAGAAATTCATATCTCGAAATTGATAGAGTATAAGGGCTTCATAATTTTGAGGTCACTTTATTTCTCTTATATTGGATATGGAAGGTGAGTTCCTAACGGCTTGATTCTTATAAATATTTACATTGTTGAAGGTGAACAAAATATCACAAACTTCAAACCATAAGAAAATAAACAGACTGAATAAACGCAAATCTTCCTGAAAATAAACTAAGTGAAATTCATATTTAAAACAAACATGTATCATAGGGTACTAACCGATTAGTAATATTTTATTAGGTATACACAAATTAATTTAATGAAATACTCGGGTGGAACTTTACAAAACAGAAAAGCAATATTCAACTACGTTTAGCAGTAATGTTTTGATGGGTAATGGCAGTCGATTTTCAACCACTAGGTTACTGATTTACACAAAGTTCCGCTTACTTCGATCTGAGCAACTGGGTAAGATTATTAACTCACAGAAAACAGTGGCACAGAGCCAAGTACATAGACTTTTACTTCGTTATTGAGTTGCATATATTAACAAAATCAAATAAGTTAAATTCATTAGTTTATAGTTTGTGTTACATTTGAAGCGTGTGGTGTAATGAATTCATATGAGCTCTACTGACCGCTAATAACCATTTCCTAAATGTTTATTGTAAATATTAATTTAGCGCTTATTTGTTTTTTTTAGTCCTGATTTCGGTACTGAAACCTACTATAATGCCATTAAATTCAGTTAAGGGGATATGGTTGGGAAGAAACAGATCTACTGCATACTAAACCTTTCACAATACTATATTCAATAACCAGACAAAAAGTAAGTCTATACATAGTATTGTGGGTGAATGGACAGTCTAATTAACCCCAATGGACTACAAAAAAAGAATCCCAATAGGTTTATCACATCAGATAATAAAACAAACACTTAAGGTTTGCATACAGGCACAAAAGAGGGAAAAAAATTTCTGAATAACAATTTGTTTATTCGTAAAAAAAATACATCCCATTAAGAACACAAAAATTGACGTTGTATTTCTCCTAGCAAAACTGAAGCAGCTGATAAAACATTCAAGCTGTTTATTCTATCTGCAGATGGGATAACAAGTCGAGAACCACCGGTAAGATGAACTAAATGAAAAGCTTCCGGAGAAACACCATGAATTTCAGATCCAATAACAATAGCTAAACGACAATCATGTTCCGCAGAGTTATAATCGGAAGGAATATAGTTTACTGCAAAATGTGGGATAGTTTGTACAGGTAAGCGATATGCGGAATCTGTTGACTCAGGAGTAAGAAAATCAATAGCTTCACACTCGACTGATATTTCACACTCATTAATATATTGTGACTGATGGTTCTAGAAATAAAAAGAACCATGATTACAGAAAAAATGTATCTGAATAATAGGAATTATAGAACTAAATATTAAACACTGTTAACTACTAAACGCAGAATTTTTAGATAAAAATTAAAACAATATTACACAAAAATCATTACACTTCAGATGAAGGTCACTATGTTGAAAATACTCTAAAGGATTATGAGTGCTTAAATTAACTTATGAATTCTTTCCTACCTACAATAAAAGAATGTGATAGAAATAATAGAAACTCGAAAATTAAATAACTCAAAAGATATAATACGATAGTGAGTTATTCCAAGTCAGTCAGTCAGCTACAACGTAGGACCAGGCACATATATGCATCGGTCCAGGTTGCCATACCTCCAAGACGATAAATTGTGTATAGATTTGAGTGAACGAATGTTTTAAAGGAATATATATGAATATGACTGGTTCAGTTCTATTTTTTGCTAATCCAATAGCAGTATCTATATCCACAAGCTATATGAAGAAACTTAATTTTAGAAACTAACTTAGACCATGAATTATTCAAAATCACAGTTAAATCTCTTAAATCATCGATCACATTGTACGTCTTGATCAAAAGACTAGCCAAATTAGTTTTCCATGAGCTTTATTAACATTTGAACAGATTCATGACAGTATTTCTGGCTCTAATGTTAACAAATTTGGATTTGTTAGTTAGTGATAAGCGACTCAAAACCTAGTATATATCTGCATCAGTTCAAGTTGCCACACTACAACAACAAAGATGAAATTATCAATGTGAATACTAAAGTTGTAGAGGTAGTACTCTCATTGGCAGTAAAAATTATTAACCACAAAGAATATGATTAGAGGAGAAGGAAGTTAGTGTATGAACTGGTGTTCCTAGTATACATAATTCTTAATGTGAAAGACTTATCTAATGATAAGTATCAAAGTTGAAGACATCATAGAAACTTCAGCAGTCAATACAAAGGACAAAAAGATAGATGAATCACAGAGTTGAAATAGCAATGCAGGAAATACTACAAAACTACAACCACATAAAAGAGAATTCGCCTCACGATATCCTAAACTTAAAAACTGATATTTACCCAGTTTTTACAATTTCAACAATAATATTTACTATGTAACGTGGCTACAAATGTTAGTGAAAGAGTGCTATCACCATGAGCGGTTGCAATAATTAATAATTCATACAGTAAAAAAGCACAGGTTCATGGGCTCAGGTTTCAGTTATAGTTTAATAGTCTACTGATACTACACCTGCCTGTTCAAATCACAGATAGGTTGATCAGGACTCAAACCTTCTCCCTTAGTTGTTGGACGGTCAGTGTTTTAACTACCACTTCGGGTAGCTGCGTGAAAGATTTTGACTTAACGATTTGACAACTAGGGTTAATATGATTATACATCTATATATACTGGTGGGTATTTATGTATATACTCACTTGTACGCAGCCCAACTTACAAGATTCGACAATGTGGACAAGAAATAGTTAATAATGGATAGAGGTCAACTCACAGTTTGGTCTTTTTTCCATGCTGATTCGATTAATTTATCAGTCAAGAGTGGTTCAGGGTCGGCTACAAAGACTTTAACATGAGAGGACGAACCATCACGTATCCCAAAATATCGACTAATATCGGTCCAGCTTAGTCCTTGATAGACAGGTATGCGGAAATGACCAGACATTCCTGCTCGTATCACTTTTGTATTCCAAATATCAACACTACCTGGAGCGAAAAGACTAAACGTTATTAAACTGTTGAATACGATGAATAATGATATCCTAAAGTTTCTAATGGACTAACTTAGAGATAATTCGTTTAACTTCGAATATCAATTACCCTGATAACTGTTATTAAATAAATCCCAACGGTATATTAATTCAGAAGACAACACGAGGCGTTGTCCACAGTTTATTATTGAATAGCACAGACCACTAAGCCACAAGCACCATAAGTGAATTCGAGCAGAAAAGCTAATGCGCGCGAGAGGACTCAGAGACAAATTAAGAGTCGAACGAGTCGAACCGATTGATGAGATTCGAGTGTTATATATATGGGAAAGCGAACAATTCATCGAGCGATTTGAGCAACTAACATCTTAGCTAAAGAGAGGGACATATGCATATGCTACCACATGTGATCAAGCATACATGTCCGTGCAGAGATGGTAAAATAATAAAACAAAGATATTGACAAATTGTTACTGTTAGAATAACACTGTTAAATAAGTTAAGCAAACGGCGTGACAAACCTAGACGTAAACAAACTTAAATGTAGGAGAGGTGCTATAAACTAAATATAGTTTTTTAACATTTGTGTAGAGAAAATACAAAGACCAATAAGTAGCAGTGGAAGGCAAGATGAGGATATTAAAATCCTAGTTAACTAATGCGTCAGTCATCATCAACGTAAGACATGACGTAATTGTGCATTGGTCTACAAGAATTTCGATATCAGAGCCCCTGCGTATATATTGGTCATGTAACTTCATCGAGTAGCGTATCAATGACTATCGGTTAACCGCAAATCACTTTTTATTTATATTTAATTATATCGCAAAATAATGGTTGCAATTACTAATGAGGTGGAAAAGAAACTGAGACTAATAGAACATCTATAAGCCTAGTTTAAAAATTTTCATCCACCAAATAGGCTCACTGATAAATACGAACGCACATCGACATTAGTCATCAGGTACTGTCTAGGCTACATGAAAAGTTGTAGGAAAACAGGAAGTAAGCTAAGACATTTGAGTTGATAACATAACTTCCTGTTTTAAAAGTGATGGATAGATCGGAAGAAAACATATTACTTCAATATTGCTGAATTCGGATCATAATACTTGAAATTAGTCACTGCGGTGTTAATATGCTTATCTTTTCACCCTATAATACATAATAAACGTCCATACCTCATGCAACTATTTATTAGATTGTGAACAATTTACCTTATCTTTTTACTACTTTTATCACTGACAATATCGATATCACGATTATATTTCTAACTTGTCTTATTCGATTACCAGAGCTCTTACTTGCAGAACATATTTAAGAATGGCAAAAACACTGAGAGATCGTTGAGTAAATGCTTAGACATTGAATAGGTCATAGTTTCACAATATATTGGTCTTAAAAAAGGAACTTCGACGACAATCTATACATTATCCTTCAAAGGAAATCTGTTAATATGATTGAGCACCCTTAAGTTGTGCAATTATTTTGTTAATTTAAAACCTTTACAAGAGTGATGTGTTGGACAAACGAATAAATGTTTGTACGGAGCGAATGAAAGTTTATTCTGAATTAGCATGTTCGAAAAACTAAAGATACTGAACACCATACGAATTATTATAACTAACTTCAGATCAAAAGACGAAGCAAGCCAAGCAAATATAATTTCTTCAGGGTTGAAAACTAATAAATTGCTTATCACCAGATGAAAAGTGAAAACCACGTCATAAAGAATACCGAGTGCTGTAAAATACAGACGAAAATCTACTAAATGTAATGAGTACCTTTAGTCACCAAAATAGAATCTAAACCAAAACATGCACCAGAACGGATCAAACTGCCCATATTTCCAGGATCGTTAATTCGGTCAAGTATAAGAGTAACAGGTAAGTGAAACTTCGCATTTTTTTCATTGAAGCAGTCTTGTTGTGGTAATTCAAAAAGGGCTGAAACAAGAAGAGATAAATACTTTGCATCATAATTTGTAGACAAATTTAAGTTTAAAAACTCTCCAAATGACAGGTAATGACCTACTGAGAGATTAAAAAGAAAAATCTGATCAATCAAAATTGACAGAAAACTATATTTACACTTACTCGTAGCAGAGAATCATCTAAAATGGTAGAAATTTACGTATCTAGGATTTCGTTTATTTATTTACACCATTAGACCTCGATTCATAACAGTCTGTGCTGATAGCACTGTGGTAGACGAGATTAAATTAATTTGGGAAAACTTTAGAAATTATGCTAAACTAGGCCACTATTCATCCCACTTTTACGAAACCTATGCTGTCCAGGGTGGTGTTCGACGACGGTTCCATACAATCGTTGTTTGGGTAAGGTTTTTGAAGTCAAACACGGAGTGTTCGGGACTAACGGAGCACGTCATCCGACTAATTATGACGCCTTAAAACAGTATCCTTGGTGATTTGGAGATACTTCATGTGCGTTATCTGAGTGGCAATTATACCAAGTGTCGTTTCCAACACCGGAAGCGACTGAGAGAAATGGTTAACTTGTGACAATGAACTAAGTAATTGATGTGTGGGCGAGAATGATTGGTTGTTTTCTTAGTCAGACTAGTAGATAATCTGATAGGTACTAGATGAGTTATATATTATCTTACCTTTATTATTACTAGGATTGTTGTCGGTTTTTGGTGTGGAAATATATTGAAGTTCTAGTCAGGTTAATCACGTATTCTTGGTCTGAGATGTGTTGAAGTCCTGTAGTATAGACACTGGGAAGAAATCTAGTGTAGATATTCGTGTAAGGCATATTAACGTCCCATTCGTGTAGACGTGGAAACCTAGCATTATAGAAGTAATGGGATGACAGTTTTTCTGGCTTAGCACATGTCAGCTCGTCAAAAAACCTTGAAAGTGTTATAGATCCAGCTTCTAAGAGGTTTGAAATGTTATCAAACGTAGCTCAAAATAGAAACTGATGGTAAACTTGCAGCAGAATACTAATCCACTCTTCAAAAAGATTTACCTTCGAACTAGATACGAATTATCATAGTTATATGTTCGTTAAAATCTTGTACTAGTTTTCATCATTTTCAATGGATGACTTTCTTTTTTTACTTCTACAAGACATCCCATCTTTGTGGCGCATTTTTTGATGTTCTTTCGTACCAAGCTACTTCTGTATTGTAAATAAATGAGAGGGTTACTTCAATACGAATGAATCGATATTTTTATATAAGCCCGTTGTGGAAACTTGAGGATAATCAACTTTGGGCAGCTTAGAAGCTCTAGAACGAATGAAGATCAACTTATCAATAACCAGGGAGTTACGTGAAGGACTTAGACATTTTACGACTCTAAATACTTTTACATTACCTTCAATGTAGCCATCTAAACAATGTCATACATTTGAAATAATTGATACTTGATGATCAGAATGTAAATGTTTGTTTTTTATTGATATCACTGATTAAAAAGGCAGAGTGTCCTATCAGTGATATAATAGATTCATATATTTGTGTTCTAAATCAAGATTTTATTTAGTTCAGAAGTCTATTGACCGATAAAGTATATCAATAGGATCGTCCTTAGAATAATCAATAAGCTATATGTTCCATATCTGGTAGACAACCACTGAACTTACACAAGTATCGTAATAGGTCAACCAAACACGTCAACTTGCATTACCCAGTCACTATTCAATGGTAAAACCATACATAGAAACATAAACTAATGTGGAAGTCCTAAGCACACTGCAACATAAATTCTACACTTTAACAATAAACGATCTGGTTCACTTTTTTGCAGTCTATTCACGAAATCTCAGAAAAACTGAACAAACTATTCTTTAGAACATGAAATGAGAAATTATAGGACTCATGTCAACTAAACATTATGTTAAAGTCTTCAAAGGTATCGATATATTTCTAGTAGATCTGCATTAAATTCGCAATATGAAAGATAAAAGTGTGATTATAAACCAGTAACAAATTTACCTATTACTCCGGGAGGAGATTGAAGTGACGAGATTTGATCCATAACTCGATGATTAACATAGTAGATACTTAATACGTTGCTTAAATCACCGACTTTTTGCAGAACATCCTGTGAAGAAAAGAACAAAGATGTGGCTTTCGCCCCTGTTGCAAGTGCATCTGATATTAGTTTGCTTCCTTCTAGAATAATTGTAGGATATTTACAAGATCCATTTTTTCCAAAACCACCATGTGATAGTGATACCTTACTTTGAAGTATTACCTCTCTAGAGATAAATAAACAGTTGTTTGCTTTTACCTGATTTTCAAATCATTTTCATTTAACTCAGGATAAAAAATTTTCTTTGTATTACAAAGCGACACATTTTCTGCACAATGAGTTTTAATGTTAACTTGACGCTTTCTATGTTTTTTGACCTCTAAGGCTTTATTAGAAATTAGTATTTCATCTCCATAAAGAAAGCTATTGGATAGACCCCGAACGCAATATATACTTGAGCGTGAAAACAAATTATAAACGCTTTTCATCAAAGGTTTGCTGTAACTACTTGAAGGTGTAAGAGGTGATCTCACTTCGTGTAAGCCGATGTCAATGAAAACAATGAGATTAACTGCAACAGCCTATAGAACTAAATAAAAACAATGAAATATCTGTTAGCTACCTCACCGACGAGAACGCTTAAAGTATGCAATGAATAGAAGGACATTAGGAACTTTGTATTGAGTTCCAATGCTTACTATCCGACCGAGGTTCGCGTAATAAGCGTAATTAGTGGTTGAAGACATTAGATAGTATATTAGTAAACTGGTGACCTTAGCTCAGATATACATAGTACTTGCCTTCCTAAGGGCTATGAGATTTAGTATGATCTTATACTTCTAGGTCCTTGATTTCACTTACCATATATAAAACATGTATTTGGTTGGTTTAACTATCACTGCTAGTACCGTTAACTCAAGTTATTAACACATAAAAAAACTATTGTTAGCCATGAATTACCACTCATCTTGACGTGCATTCGTACCCAAATAAAATTTAACAACAGTAAATTTAGTGAGACTAGTTTATGGACAACCTTTGAGAGATAACAGTGACCTTGATAGTGTATACCTACTAACTAGGACTAAATGAGGGTTATAAACTAGTGTGAAGAATTAGAATTATGGTTTACAGTTGATTATTAGGAACTTAATTTAAGGTTTTCATCACGAACTAACGACAGCTAAAATTCCAAAACGATATTTAGCTAAATGGATGACTGAATTTATCTTATATCTGATTGGTTCGTACATAAATTATAGTCTCATCTAAATTTAATAAGATGTAGTCAGTAACTGATCATTGTCCTTTTGAAGCTTGACACACAACTGAGGAAAAACTAACACGTAAACAAATTTAACAGGAATAGTGGCAATGATACTAACTCTACTAAGGAATCAAGAGAAGTTACAACTAGATATGTGATACACATACATGTAAAAAAAGAAAAAAATGTGAATGTATTTACAATGCCGCGATTGGATAGGATTCACTTCATATAGACACAAACCACTGACTGAAAGTCTTAGGTACATGATTAATGAAGCCTAAGAATTTTTATGCAGCTTATCACTATCTGAAGTCTACACGGAAGCGATTGTAAAACAAAAGTTATCACAAGGTCAGTGTTTATAGTGTAATTTCAGGTATAAATTTGACTAACAGTCCTTACAATTACTCTCATGTTACACGGGATGGGGATAGTGAACGCTTAGAAGTAATTTATGGTACATTAACAGTGATTTTATTTAAAGCGATGTAATATTTTCTTCCCATTTCATTAACGCCAGAAATGAATATTAAGTTTAAGATATACAAAGGACAAAAGGAAGCACAATAAATTCGTACTAATCATCATGGCACATATGAATGGTAATGGTCTTGCAACGAAATGTATCAACTAGATATGGGAAGACTTCGCCACATTACTGTCAGGTTTAGCTCTAACAAATTGAAAACAACTGTGGCTGTTTGCTTAACACCCCTTAGAACGTCGAAAACCACTGTTTGGTCTGTATAAAAACCACAGGTATGTCAGCTGTATTATCAAGTAATGACATACCCGTCTCATTCTAACATCCCACACAACCATTCGCTTAAAATGAACATGTAAATAACTAAATATGTACGAGTTCACGCATTTTGTTAACGAATCATATTCAGGTTTATAAAAATTATTTATAAAGCTTCCACATAACCTACTACGTGTGTAGTAGGTCTCGTACGATAAATGAACCGACGACTCAGTAAGCAGTGAATAACAATTTGCGATAATATAACAAGAAAATCCGGCGATCGAAAAAAAAAATTGCGAATGCACTACGGCTGGTGTAGAGTTCATGCCTAGCAAGGAGATACTTTGTATACTAAGGTAGCATACGCTACTGTATATACAGTAGCATAAGAAGAAATAGTAAAGAGAACAAAAGAAAACGTGACTAGACGACACAAAAACAGCAAATGAAGCACTAACATTTAACAATAAAACCGGTTGACAATAATCAGAACAAACACAGACCTCAAATTAAGACAGTCTTGTGATGGGAGCTAGTAGCAGGTGATCATACCGTTACAGCTGAGATGTTTGTAAAAGCGCGGCGACCTTGAACAACTTCTGAGACCTCTATCTTAAGTCTTCAGTAATGAGGATAGTAAGTTGGGGAATCTATGTTAATCCCGACAGATTGCCTTTCAGTGAAGGTCCAGCCTCTCCTTGAAAATATTCGCTGATGAAGCTGATACCACTTGTTCGGGTATGGAGTTCCGGTCATTGTCTTCTCGATGAGAAAAACGGGATCTCACTTTAAATTTATTGAATTGCTCTTTGTAAACCTTCTTGCTTTGGCCTCGAAGACTACTAATGCTGGAAGGAGAGAAAAGACGAGACATATTAACACCCAAATCTTAATTAAAGATACGAAATGCCAGTATAAGGTCACCTCGCGTCCTACGATACGACAAGGGGAAAAGGATTAGGCGTTTTAAACGCTCATCGTAAGGAAGTTTAAAAGAACCCTCACTAGTTTTTTTCCCACATGCTGAACACTCTCATTTGAGTTAGTATCATTTACCAGACATTGGCTAGCTGCTTCGATACTGTACTCTAAACATGGTCTTACATAGATGGGATGTATACATCGAAACATTTCCACGTGAAAGCATATGACTGCTTGGCGAAGTGACCGTAACCCACGAAAACCTTTGACAACATCTGAGTTGCAATGCGTAGTTGTTTCCAAGTCATGACTTATTATTACTCCTAAGTCTTTATATTCTTGAACGCGTGGAAGGGCTGTATCATCAATATTATAATGGTGACTACTACCGTGTCCGATGTGCATGAGCACACTTCCTAGAATTAACTTCCAAGCCTAGAAACAACACAAGTGCTCGTAAGTGAATGGTCTGTCTAAAGTTTTTTAAACGGGCCTCAATTCTTAGTTTACGTGAGAAAATCATCTGACAAATCTGCACAGAAATTTCTAATTTGCTAACGACGGACCTTACCTAGAATACTGCACAGACGTAACCACTCAATATCTTATAAGAGTACGAGGATTAAGCTTTTTCAATGAGTAGATACTGTATTAGCAATAGAGAATTCAAAATTTGTTGATGACAAATTACAAACCGGTTAAGTCTTTACTATGATCATATAGCAGGACATGAGATAGTCTCATAATGGCATTCCGCATTTTAAATAACTATCATTCAATCAACACGTTTTACCTTTTCTCTCTTAGATTTGCTACTTTTGAGAACATCACTATAGGCTTTCCGAACACCGGGTGAATAGCGTTGAAGTGATTAGTGCCGAAACTGTAGAACGGTAGAGATCTCATAAGTTTACATAGTAGTCCATGCTAAACAGGTTGTTACACAGAAAATCTATCACCATACAAAAAAGGATTCTCTACTAATGAGTTTGGTTAGCCGGGTCCATTGGTCGACGTCGGGAAAAAGCAATCTGTCTTAGTTCGAGACCCTGTGCTTAAATTCTTCTGCAACCGTTAGCCAGTTACTTCTCGATTTTTTGATAACCTATCAAATAATTCTTCTAACCTTCTCGCTTCTGACTTTTGGTTTCACTGGGTAGGCACGATTCAGTTATAGAACGTTTTACTGGTTGAATTGTTTTCAAACTCCAAATACTTGTGGCATCTTCATCCTCAATCTTCCAGACATGTCTATATGGCGCAAACATGAACGTAAGAAGGCAGTTTAGTCAGCCACCTCATCAACGAATTCACGGAACATATGAATGACCTGTCACGAAAAGTTGGCAATATTACATCATAAATAGGAAACTCAGAGAGTCCTTCTTCTGATTATCTGCCACATGAAAACAACACATACCACATACAAGTCGTCATCAAACATGAACCGGATGACAGATAATCAGACCTTGCCAGTATAATGTTTACAAGTACCGTCACGTCTCAAATGATTATTAGATGCTGAAATGTTGGCGAAAATGTTTTATGCATTTATATAATCCCAACTAGCATAAGTTTGTCTTTCACTTATCCATGATCATACAGAGCGAACTGTGGTATGAGTATAGCCGAATAATAAACTCATTTTGAAACGTATTGACTACACGTTAAACCGCTCTCTTCTTTTTAATGTCATCCTTCGATTGTTTGGTCTGAATAGTTTCCTTGTGCCTTAAGGATTACGAGGCTGTTCTCACCTTAGAATGTTGTTTAAAAAGTTTCTCGAGATGTACCCTATCTGTGTCCAGAGTCTCTCCTTAATTCCCGCATCAACTTCCAGTTGGTTTATTCTCTGCTACAATAGATTATTCTTGTTCGTCTCTACTCAGTAGATCTGTGGTGCCATTGAGTCCTAACCACACAATCCTCAAAGCTGAGCACCAGACAACCTGGAAGAAATATATTCAACATTTAATGCCGAGAAAAACCCAACAATGAGGGCAGGAAAATGAATTCAATTGAATCCAATCGGGAGGCATGGCTCAGCTTCTCAGGAGTGGTCGCTCTGTATAATTTACTTTTACTCTTAATGAATATATTTTTCTATCTCCAACCTGAATGTGTTCTTCGTCATATATTGGTAGTTGTTACTATACGACCAGTCAGTATAGACAATGATAGGACTTCCACGTAAGATCTAATAGAAAAGACAGTTACAACATGACAAATCTACAATATTAGGATTAGGTCCATTATTAGAGCAGTACTAATAACGAAGTAGACCATAACTCTAATGATCTGCAGTATCTTTCGTGGATAGCTTTTTATGAATAGATGCACTTTCTTGATGTTAGTTTTGATTCCAGTTTCGTTCAACATGAATGTCCCAAAGTTTCGAACAAAAGTTTTGATTTCGGTGTTGTATGATAGTTTTTCAAGTCCCAGATATTCTAGTACGGTAGGAATAGTAGCTTCACATGCGTGTCCGTGGTTTCACATGTACATTAAATCCTCCTTAATAATCAATAATTTCCCCAAGTATGTAAATACTTCTGTCTTTTCCGAAGCTTCCCATCAAGCGTGAATTTATTACTGTCCGTTTTACCGTATTTCAAGTTCTTCCTTTTCCCTGCAACTGTAGAGGCTTAGTGCTATAGAAGCTGTTGCTTCACTGTGAGTCTTTATCTGCATTTATTCCTGTGTATTGGACAGAACGGCTGGGTCACTGGCGAAGTCCAGACTTACCAGCCATGTCCCAAATGTTTATCTGTCTTGTATTTCCGGGGTATGAAGGTCTTCAATGTCCAGAACACAATGAGAAGAATGAGAGAATATGAGGGTAGGAAGTCATATACGTTAACAGTCTTCACTTGGAACACTTTTGTGAGTAACCCAAATACATGACTTCGAACACCTTTGCCTCCTGTGAGTCTTGTATAACGGTGTCGACTGCCTCGGATGCTCCATAGCGTGGAAGAGACCCACTAAGGTCCTCCTGTCATAGCTGTCGGGTGAATTTCTATAATTAATGAAGTTATGCAAAAAGATGGGTTCTATTCAAGCGACTGTTCAGCAGTGATCCTCACAAATGTCAGCCTGTTGGTCTCGTATGGGCTTGTCACACTTTTAAAATTTTTATGGTACTGATAGCTGTGTGATGTCTCTGTATTTCTCACACTTGCTACAATTTCTTTTTTAATTTATTTTGATGAAATATCCCCCTCTCCAGTCTGTTGTCACTACTTATAAACCTTTGAAGTACATGTGTTGTATCTATTAGTATGACATGAATCCTGACAAACTCAGTCTAAAATTTGTTGTGATGTCTTTCTTAGGAACGTCTCCATCAATCACAACTGTAATATAAAATTTAAATATACGTGTCATCGTGGTTGTAATTTTCATCTTGCAGTACAGTAGCTCATCAGGTAATGTCCATTTTCGAGAGGTTTATATGTAATGGTCCTAACCACTCAGTACTCAAAGCCGAACATAAGATAACTGAGAAAATAGATATTCAGCATTTGATATGGAGCGAAGGCCAACAGTGGTGAACGCGGGAATATGCATTCAGTTAGATGGCATGGCTCAGCCTTGTAGACGTAGTCATTCTGTATAACTAGTCTCTAATCACACTAAGTATATTATTCTATTCTTAACCTAAATGTGTTCTTTACAAACTTCGAACGTTTTATCGCGGATTGTTACGATTCGAGTCAGAACAGTTGATGTAATTTCCATGTAAGATGTTATAGATTAGGTAACCATATCATGATAAGTCTACACTTTGGGGATAAGGTCTATCATTATAATAGTTCCAATAACGAAGTAGACCATAATTCTACATATCGTTTAGCTACGTTCGTTTTTATTCGGAGCCATGTGGAACGATTATCTATCAATGACACATAGCGAATGAAAGTGATTAAACACAACTTTTATGGCTTTAAGTTTATGAGGGACTGATCAACTGAGTTTTGAGAGTACGAACCATCTGTTTGGTGGGAGATGTTGTTATCGATTTCGAGCGACTGGAGACCCCTTATAATTAAATGTGAAAATTTTCTTGTCCCTCAGAATTCAGCCTGTGAACATGGTTTAGGTAAATATATTTTCAGCTTATCTCATTTCATTTTTACTTTGCTCGACACTTCTTACGATGCACATCAATGATTTGCTTATATGTATGGTGTCTGGAGTCATGTCGAGCCGTCGTGGTTTATTCTAGCTTCAGAACTGACCGACTAATCCATTCATTCCAAGCTACATTTTGACCCTGTGAATTGTTCGCTACAAACCTTGACTGCTTTTATACGAGTGTTTGTATGCGTATTCCTCATCCTACTCATTACATTTCTGTAGCTTATTTTTGTCTGACTACTAATATCGAGTCACGGTTGATCGAATCGCTTTGGTTTGCTCACCTCGGCTTCACTTTTTTCCTCGTTTTTATTTCTGAATATCTGTCCAAATCAACGAGTGTACGAAGTATACCCACATTTAAATTTTTCTACTCTAATCGAACTTAATGATCCATTTTTTACTCATTCACCTAAGTAGTAACTGTCATTATAATGAAGACTATAAATAATACGGGCTTAATGATGAATTCTGGTGACTTTAATCACGTTAGACTTTAATCTTGTGCGGTGGGGCCTCGAAGTCTTAACATATAACCTGTAAATATGCATGTGCTCCCGGAAAGTGTCTTTTGGCCGATCGTAGCATAAATGCCAGGAAGGTTCCAACTCGTTTCCTTCCTTCAGCTTGCGATTGTTTCTCTAGGGTACATTACCGGGAAAGCAAATTTCACAGAAAGATATTGCACTCGCGATCTCATTGTCCATTGGTTGTTTGAGTTCGTAAATTATTTGATATAAATCTACCACACAATTCCATTGACTTGGTAGAAATAAATCAGCAATTACACGTCGTTAGTGAGAAAATTACAACCGCCGTTAGAAATAGGGATGGCTTATGTAAATATGTTCTTAAGGTTAGATGTCCTAACATTGCATAAGCCTAAGGATTCCCTTTCAAGGCACGTTTTTACTACCACACCTAAAGAAAACTTTTGGTAGGGTGGTACAGAGGAAATTGTTTGGTATCAAATATAGAGGTAAAATAGAAGAGCTCACGCAAAAATCCTAGAAAATTTCTTCTCAGTTTGATTTAGTAAGTTATAGAACTGACAACCAAGATATGTGGTGTCTAGTAGTAAAACATACTCATATTATTCACCATAGTATTGATGAGTCAGACAGCGTGTGACATTGAGTTGATGCCATGTTATCAAATCAGAATTGGATCAACAAGCCACTAAAAATTTCTCTAAGTCCTACTCGTTGTTTAATTTTATGAATAACGCGAATTGTTCAATCCTTTGGTCTCTGGAAAGAACATGACAGGAATTATACTCTTTTGTTACCAAACCTCTTCTCTTCTTGATCTACATAAATGATCTTCCTCAAAAGGTAACGTCAGACTTATTACTTTTTGCCAACAACGTGAAACTATGGAGAGAGATACGCAACCAAGACGATATACAGGCACTTCAGGAGGATCTGACTCGACTTGAAAGTTGGGCAGACGATAACGGACTTACCTTTAACACTTCAAAGTGTCGCAGACTACAGTTATAACTTCGGTAACTCCTCTCTAGTAGTATCCCAAGTCGAAAAATATTTAGGAGTCCTGGTGCCCTACGATTTAAAGTCTTACGCTAACTATGACAAAAATGCCTTCCGAGCAAACCTTGCACTGGTAACATTGAAGCGCATTTTTGGCCAGTTTGACGGAAGAACTTTCCATATAATCTTCAATTGTTTTATCCGTCCCCATTTAGAGTACGGAAACATAGTATTTCCTCCCTCACTCCAAAAGGATAAAGACACTCTGGAGCGTATCCAACGGCGAGCCACGAAATCAGTTCGAAAAGTCAAATTTAAACCTTACGAAGAGCACCTCCAATCGCTTAACCCCTACCATTAGAGTATAGACGTCTTAGAGGTGACCTTCTGATGGCTTACAGTATCCTTAACACTTCTGGACACCTTCTCAAACACCTACTTAAGCTTAGTTCCAGCACTAACCTATGGGATAACACCCAGAAATTGGAGATACAACATAGCAGAACGGACTGTAGACACAACTTCTACTGCTTAAGAGTTGTCAAATGCTGGAATTCGCTGCCGGTCGATCTAGTCTAAGCGACTTCGCAGGAGTTCTTTAAGAGGCAACTTTATCTATTCTTAAGGACTAAAAATAGTATCGCACTATGATTTACTAATATCATTTCCTGTTTTATTGTTAACATACCTAGGTTCCTGCCTGGTGGTTTTGGTGATCCCCTGCTACTAAACACGGAAGCCTGTTAAGTGAAAGCTTCTTCTATTCCGTTCACAACCATTTGAACCATTTGAAACATTTGAATATAACTGTTCGGATACAGCTAATAAAATCTCTAACAAAACGACTTTGTGTCATTTTAGAGCGTTGAAATGTGACTAAGAAGTTCTGAACTTCCTATATATGCTAATAGCTTATGATACTAAAGATTCAAATCCTAAAACGTGTTTGTCGTTTATGACCGACATGGATTGAAAACTGAAAGATAATGAAATGCTCTGACTATCCTCTCATTGTGTTCTAGCGCGGTTTGTGATTTGTAAGGTTTTAGCGGGTTAGAACATATGCTTCTCATTCCCATTCCGAGATTGTCTTAGTCTGAGTCTTGTGTTGGTTTTGATTGTGTGGATTGATATTGTCATTAAATATATGTGCTTCTTATGCGCTTCCTTGATCGTCGATCCACCTTTTCTTTTTTCTTTTTAATAGTCTTATCCTACCGTATGCTACCCTAGTATACAAAGTATCTTCTGGCTAGACGCGAACCTCCACAAGGTTGAAATATGATACTGGCTTTGATTCTTAATTGTTTATTACCTTTGTCGTTCGGTTTCGTAACCAGACACTTTCCATGGTCAACCATCAAGAATCCGGAGTTCACATATGAAACAAAATACTTTTGGACCAGGGTACTTATTCACACAAGCAGTATAAAATTCTCAATAATTTAGATTGATCACTTCTCTTTCGTAAATGATGACAAGTTCTTTATCAAGTATTTGATTAACAACGAATCGTTCACTCCGGGTGGCCCGATATTCTTTTACACAGGAAATGAAGGTGCCATAGAAACATTTGCAGAGAATTCAGTAATTGCTTAGGCACTATAATTTTAATGCCTCTAACTTCAATGATTTTTTACAATCTAGGGGTTTATCTGGAAGCTTTCCCAAGAACTTAATGCTTCTGTTGTTTTTGCCGAACATCGGTATTACGGAACCTCTCTCCCGTTCGGGAATAATTCTTTCAAAGTGAGTTTCAATAGTGTGTCATTGTTATCTTACAGAGTACTTTTTGTCCATGGGCATTTCCTTAGAGAACCCTCTTAGTTATGGTTGTATTTATTTGTTTTTAAAATTTGGTCATTGAGCAAAAAGTTGTTTTTCAGTGGTATCTTGACAGTTTTTCAGAGTACTTACCATGATATTTTAACAGTAAAGCAGTTTTATGGGCTTCGGAACTTACAGCAGCAGACTCTTCAGCTACTTTTAAAATATTGTATATTTACCCACTGCGCCTTAGGCTTTCCAAATTAACGTCTGAATGCTGACCTAGGCTGACAAAAACTAGTAAACAGTCTTCTTGACCTACTCCCAGGTTTTTGCGTTCTGCACCTTTATGGGGTATTGAAACATTAAAACTCTGTATGGATTTATGATACAAATGGTTCCTATCTAGCTGAACAATTTTTACTAGAAACTAAGCTATTTATAACATTTCATTCCCCCAAATGCCCTGGTACAACCGAGAGTGGGGAGAGTTTGCTCTACCTCTCGAAATGCTCACATATGGCCACGCGTATATAGCCTCTGCCAGGGAAGTCCTACTCACTGCCTTCTCGTGGCAGGGGTGTTGTTTACGAAAATGAGAGGACGAAAAGTGAATGTCCGGCGTTTTAACCGGATTCCAAACCAATGGTGCACACGAGCTCCAGTATCCTGCGGGAACAAATGGCGTATGAACCAATTGTTGGTCACCGGCTTCCATGGGACTGCATTTCCTTACGATGCTCCACTGCCTTGTGGATCAGACCTTCATGTCGAAGGCTCGGGGAGTAACCCCCTAAGAAAACCACCTGCTTCGGTTTGGGCACCCGGGCAGTATCACAGCCCTCACATATATCGAATGAGATTTGTGTGGCGCATATGTATTTGGTGCCTGATTGTACCAATATCTATGTGTTGAAATAAATAAATAAAACTTCTTGATTTTACTTATGTCCTGCTGTACACCCTTAATATATCCAGAGTTAACTAATTCCTCAATACCTTACTTGGAATTTGTTGATATCAGGACTTTGTTTTTTTTTATTCCAAAGGACCGTCAGCACTTTGGTTACCTAACTGCAGAACAAGCGTTGGCTGATTATGTACTTCTGATTAATCAATTAAAAGCTAATTATTCATGCTTTGCTTCATCACCTGTAATCGCTTTCGGAGGATCCTATGGCGGTATGCTCTCTGCTTGGATCAGACAAAAGTACCCCAATCAAATTGCCGGGTAGTTAGAGGTGTATTTTGATAGTTTGTTTTTCACTTATTATAAAGAGTTGTCCGCGGTTCAATACATTCATTTTTGCTCTCAATGCTTAAGTTCATTGAGAAATATAACTCATTGTGATACTAGTTGCGATTAAGATGTAAGTTTGTAACTAAGATTTGACCATTGAAGTGATAGATGCAGTCATGATAAGCTGTTGCTGCAAGACAATAATATGATACCTAGTAATTGTTGATTGCAAAACTGATTTTATTGATCTATTACATTCACTGAACAATAAGAGCAGTTGATTTATTGATAGTACACTTGTATTCATATTCTTGGGATGAATAAAACCTTATATTCTATCCAAAGTACACGAAAAATCTGTATGGTCAGAAATCACAAACCGTTGTGAAACGATATTCAACTGCTATTAAATGCTCAATAAATTTTAGACGTTGCCGAGAAAATAGTGTAAGGTGTTTTCATGGTGACATTCCTAATAAGTTTACTGTGTAGTTTCGTCCTGTCTTTGTTCATAGCATGTTTATGTCTTTTGTAGGTCAAAGCATTAATAACTGTTATCATCTCTCCCCCATCTTTCTTCACTCAGATTGACTTGTAGTAATATTGATACAATCTGCCAAGTTTCAAATAACAACCTAATTGGTCTTCCTAACTCCATTTGTCGTGATGAGATTAAATGGATGACTCTAGAGTGAAAATTGGTATTTATTATCTTTAGATTTGTTAAACCTTCATTGCTGTATGTGTAAGAATATCGTAAGCTTGCATTGTTTAGAAACTCACACTTTCTACTTGAACTGTTGCAAGTTTTTGGTCATGGTCTTTTTTAGTGCTATTATACAACTAACTTTTGGAAATAGTTCTTAGATTTTTGTGTGGAGGCAAAGAGACAGCTGAACAAAGGTTTCGCTTCGTTTTAAGCAAGGATAGTCAGTCGGCCAATGAATTCATCGAAATACATTAATTCAAATTACTGGATTCTATTACTCATACTAATGGATCATAGATTCCAGAATATTATGTTAACTGGAGTAAGTGTAAATTAGAAAAGTTAGAAATGGACATGATGGTATAACTGTTGGGTTGTTTTCATGGACAGGGACCACCAGATATAGGAAATTATCATTTCAAAGTCTCGTGTAATGAATCTCAAAATCTATCCTTGTGCTGCGAATCCGTCTACACTTTTCAACCTTTTCTCAAATCACTAGCATGTTATTCTGTAAATTTTTACTCAGTTTAATGATATTTTTAAGAGTTCATCTTGTTGGTTTTCTGCTTTTATTATGTTGGTGTGAGTACTTGAGACTGACTCACTTCTGTTCATCTAACAATCATAACGAAAGATCTTTATTGTAAGTTACATTTACAATAATCCGTTTTTTTGATACTCTACTTACAGTGCCATAGCTTCTTCTGCACCAGTATGGCTGTTTCCCGGATTATCGGACTGCAATGGTTTCAGTATGACAGCAACAAATAGCTTTTTGAAATATGGTGGCGAGAACTGTGTAAAGAATATACAACTTTCCTGGAGTAATATTGTAGACATAGGTCAAAGTAGTAAGTTGTGAACTAATACTAATGATATTCAATGTTGTTGCAAATTAATAAAATGATTTTATTAGTTGATTTCTACATCCCCCATACTTTATATCACTACTATATGATACAGCGCTTTACCTTATTGCGTATTATTCAAGAATAACCAGACAAAAACATGGCATTGGTTTACGAAGTCACTAGTTGTTGACTTCAGTTGTGCAAGTTTGCTGGCCGGGGTGTGTTGGGTTAAGTGTGATCATTAGTTGAATATTTTGAGTAGTACGACTTCAGTTCTTTGTCAGTGGCATATTTATTTTTTTCACGTCCTGAAGACAGTATTTCAATATCATCATAAATTTCGTTTTGGACTTTTTTCTTTTCATGGTATGACAGCTTGGGCAGCTTGAGGCACTTTTTGATATACTTGCATCTTCGACTCAGTCATAATCCACGTAGATCATGACACAAGTTGCATTACTAGTTCAGGTTAACGAGGTTGGTCTATACCCTAAAACCTGACGAATTGTCAGGATTTGGTCTATATTTTCGATACCAGTTCTGAACTGACTTCTTTTCCTCGGGTTTACCGTTTGTGAGCTTCACCACATGTCGAACAACTGTGGATGTAATTATTTTAGACACTACATTTGTTAGACCGATTCCTTTGTGGACTTTTATACTTTTGTAGAGTAGGACGAGCAGAGATCGAGGCTAGTCAAATGGTCATATGTCCAGTTTCCAGACTTCAGCTAATACCTTGATCGACTTAACTGTTAAAACTGGATTATTATTATTATACTCAAAGTCCTCTAGAGTTGGCTTACACTGTCCCGCTGCTCATCGATTCAAATTAATTGTTTCCTTTTCAGTTTCGATAAGAGCTGGTGGGCTTGTTTCAATCTTCCCTTCAGGTTGTTTAAAAAGCGTTAATTCATTTTTTGGTAGTTCTGAAAAATTCATGGCTGTAGCTGTCTATATTTCCTTAATTATCTAGGTGAAATGCCCTGGTACAACCGAGAGTGGGAAGAGTTTGCTCTACCTCTCGAAATGCTCACATATGGCCACGCGTATATAGCCTCTGCCAGGGAAGTCCTACTCACTGCCTTCTCGTGGCAGGGGTGTTGTTTACGAAAATGAGAGGACGAAAAGTGAATGTCCGGCGTTTTAACCGGATTCCAAACCAATGGTGCACACGAGCTCCAGTATCCTGCGGGAACAAATGGCGTATGAACCAATTGTTGGTCACCGGCTTCCATGGGACTGCATTTCCTTACGATGCTCCACTGCCTTGTGGATCAGACCTTCATGTCGAAGGCTCGGGGAGTAACCCCCTAAGAAAACCACCTGCTTCGGTTTGGGAACCCGGGCAGTATCACAGCCCTCACATATATCGAATGAGATTTGTGTGGCGCATATGTATTTGGTGCCTGATTGTACCAATATCTATGTGTTGAAATAAATAAATAAATATTAAATCGTTATTAAGCCTTCTAAAATTCTGACTTATATTAACCTTTTCGTCCATTTAATATTTATCTTTATTTATATGATCTTTGTTTACTGGACATTTTTCAGTCACTACGATTAAATATACATTTAATGTATATATAATATATGTAGTGATTGAAGCACGTTTATTGATCCCTTATCCTAAAACTACATTACTGTTACATACACCTGGTTGATACGTTATATTTTAAGTGAAAATCGTTCGTTTCCGTTTTTTTTGCTACACAATTTTCAGATCATGTTATGCGAAAACACTGTTTGAAGTGTTTTCATCACATTAGTTGCTATTAAAGAAGTAGTCTGAAAATGTTATCTGGCAAACACTACTTTATTCTTTCCTGATATTTAAGTATGTTTGTGTGTGATCACAAATGAACCTCTTACCTCATCGATTGTTGAAAACAACAGTTTTTCTAGGGATCATGCGCTGCGAATAAAACTGAAAGTGAAATTGTGGTACAGATTTATTCTTTAATCACTGCATAACCCATACTGCAAAACAATTGAGACTCATTAATTTTTCGGGATAGTTGCCATTAGGAATTTGTTTCCACTCATTATGTTGCTCGTACCGTTCACGTAAGTTGTTAAGTAGAGCAAACAGAACAGTTCCTTCATAATTATTCATTATGATATTTGTGTGTGTACTGGTACACTGTCCAGAGCATCCAAACCGAAGTAGGTGGTTTCGTTAGGGTGCTACTTCTCAACCCTTTGGTTTTAATGTCCAATCTACAAGCCAGTTGAGTACTATCAGGAAATATTGTTTCATGATAGCCAGTGACCAAAATAAGTTCATGCGCCACTCGTCGCTTCAGGATTCTGGAGCCCATGTACATTATTCGTTTGTTGTCGGGATTATCCAAATCTTTTAGGTGGACCCTCAGAATCCACCGACTTGGTTTCAAAGACGGACGTTTGTTCTTTGTCACTTTTTCGTAAAAACAGATTCGCCTCGTGAAGCTAATGAGTAAAAATTTCCTGAAAGAGGCTATTAACATGGCCATTTGATTACGTGTTGAGAGTCAAATAGAGGACTATCCACCTTCGACCGTTTCATATTATTCGGTGTACTATTCCCTGGTTAGAGTCTTTGAAATGTTTCAACTAGGTGGATTGAGATGTTATGACGTATCGCTTAGAATGGAAACTAGTGGTTATCCTGTTATACTTTCCTGTTTCACACAATAATATTGATGTAATCCCCCTTAAGTCTTTCTGTGTTGTATCTTTAACTGAACTGTATTTTCTACTGAACACTTTGTTTATTTTCACTGATTGTTACCATTGTCTCCTCTATTTTTCCACAATTTCATTGATTCATTTACTTTGCACATTCTTTTGTGGCTCTTATTGTACCAGAATTTATCTGAATAAATAAAATATTCTTCATCCATCTACCATCCAAAGGATAAGTTTGCTGAGCAGCAACTCGCTCTGTTCTGTTCAATGTGTAAACGCCCATTAAGAACAGAGGATATTAATAGGTTACTCGTATTCAATCATAAGTGTCTTCAGAGCATTGTTAATATATTTCGGGACCGTTGAGTGAGAAGTGCTAGGGTTAGACACAGGATACCAGGTGAATTCAAGTCTTTTGGTGAGGTAGTGAATCTTCATTGATTGAGGAAATTGGAACATTTATCGCTTATGCTTAACCATTTCCTGCCTCAACATGGGATGTTTTTTGGTGTTGAAGTAGACTGGAAGGTCACAGGGGCGGCCGCATCAAGACATGGTATTAGTCCATGGATTTATTAACTGTTAGTCTGAACTATGTGAATAGGTTCAGACTGTCTGGTTGGGGTTCACGCGGCATTCACGATCAGTTATTGTAGACTTTGGGTGACTTGACTCAGAATTGTTCACAATAGCCTAAATGCATCCACTTTTTATCTCACCTTAGATTCTGAGTCTTGAAATCACTCTGTACTTTTATTCTCTTTCTATACCCAATTCTTTCTATTACTACTGGTGTTGTTACTACTTTTACTACTATGAGATTTGTCTTGATAATTTTATCTCGTTGCACAAATATGGTGTGCCAACTTCAACCGATACACATATTTGCTAGGTTCTCCATTGCACATGACTGGTTGTATTTGAATAGTAAATGAACTTAAGTTTCTAGACTTTGTTGATGCCCTCTCTTTTTAACGTAAGACTGAGTAACGCACTACTGTTAGTAAATGGGTTCGTTTAAAGCGTCATCTGGCTAGTTGAAAAGACAATATTATTGCGAGTATTCTTAGGGTAACTAGTACCAACGAAATTAGAAGGAAAAGTAAGTAATAATCAGTTTTCAAATTAAATCATTGTGTGTTTTCTATTTATGTGCTTCCTTTTTGTAGCACAATACTTATATTCGCTTATGCGTTATCATTCCACTTCTAGTTTGCCATATGTATTTGGATTATAAAAACATTCTGGTTAATATTTGATGCTAAACTATATTAGATACATTTTAAGGTGAGATGGATAGTGGCTAGCAACGAAAACCAGGATGCACATTTCGTCCTGTTCGGGACTAGCCAGTTGGATATATCTACATCCCAGAGTTGAAGTTCATTCCGTGACTCAAACCCAGTACCTCTCGCTTCAATCACCATTGCGTTATCCACCTAGCTACTGAGTACAGATAGCCACTGATTTTATGAACTCGTCTCAACTCTTTGATATTCTGTTGATTAAATAAACTCATTTTGTGTCTTCATTTGACTAATAGTTTTATTAAAAATACATGTTTCTATAGCAATCTCTTTTTCTCTGTTCACAATTATTTTGTTTTTATTAGTTGATGGGAAAGAATTATTAACCCACATGTTTAACATCTGTACGCCTTTAACTGATGTTCAAAATATCATAGACTACTTATCTGACTTTTTGGGAACAATATCTATGGTTAATTATCCTTACCCAGCCAACTTTCTGCTTGCTCTACCTGAATGGCCAGTCAAGGTTTGTGGTATATTTATTGTGTTTTACATGTCTATCGACACTCAAACTAGACGGCATTTATCCTGGTTATACTGTTGGTTAAACTCTATTACTTCCATATCGATTATTTGTGTTATCTCTTTCATATTTGTTCACGATACTTTCATTTTGTTTCATATGGTATGTTTCTTAGTGTCCTTGCGTAATGTACCAAACTTTTTGTGTTATAAATCATAAAATATACTACAATAGTTAATTTGAGGCTAAGTTAAATTAAATTTTCGTAATAAAGTCAGTACAAAATATAATCGAAATACACTTATAGCATCTCTCTGTGACTTTCTTTAGAGTTGGATAATGATTTGATCAACAAAATCGGTTGTAATTAAAATTTTATGTTATAACCTAACTTAAGTCATAAAAAGATGCATATAAGTTTAACCCGCTTTTGTATGTCTTTCTGAAATCAAATTTAAAAGACTACATAGAATCTATTTCCTCGTGAAAATCTAACCTATCACTGTTAATTATCGTACGAAAAAATTTTAATATTTCAAAAGACAATATCTCATGTTTTTAAAGTTTTAGCTCTGATGGCACATTCTATTTTGGAGCACTTTATATTACATGGTCATGTGTGCGTAAATTGACCTCAAGTAAAGTACTATCTACCGACGGTTAGAGACCCTGAATGACATGGCTCAAAATCGTTTGCAAAGGCGCAGGTGCATCCACTCTTTGTGTTCTCCCAAATTCTAATCTTCTGAATTCTTCATGTCCCTTTTTTCCTCTTTCCAAATTTATTTCACTGAATTATACTCTTTAAATAACATCTCCAAACCCTAATCTTCCCGATCGCTGCTTACACTCTTGCTTCCTCTACCACTACGGGATTTGGATCGACAACTGCATCTCTGTGTTAAGGTGGTGTGGCAACTCGAACTGATGTACGTACGTACGAAGTTCTACGTTGTTACTGACTGACTATCTTGTTTTACAATTATTAACGGATAAGATGTATTCTTCACAATAATTTTATTATTCAAATAACAAATTTTAAAAAATCGGGTATACTTACTGCTTAGTTAAACATGATTCACTATAACTGTTTGAGTTTTCAGTCATACTGTTTATTTCTAAAGCACTAGTTACTTATAAAACGTTTTTAATTGACTAGAATTTCAGTAATAATGTTGTTTCTTCGTATTCTCCTCTGATAGATACCGACAAACTAGAACTTGAGCGAATCCATAAAGAATAGGCCTACTAATATAACGTTGAAGTTTATTACTTGATTTTTTTCATTATCAAAGCCTTTCTAAGGCGTCTGTAGTCAAATACTAGTAACTTACGCGTATCTTCTACTCTTAATGACAACGTTTCCCACTGGTAACAAATTTTTCACTTGGGTTTTCCTCATTAATCCAGTATTTGTGTACCAATTTATCTGCATACGACCCTCAACAACCTGTGGTAACCAGAATATCTTTATTAGCCAAGGCTATACTATCACTGACAAATTATACTGGGAATCAAACGTGTTTAGACATTTCAACGAGTTCGCCAAGTCTGGACACTACTGGATGGGATCTACAAGTTAGTCCCATTGATATTTACTTTGTTTTAATACAGGATACTTCATTTTCGTGAGTGAGAGTGTTTATTTATTTATTGATTTTAACACATAGATATTGGTACAATCAGGCACCAAATACATATGCGCCACACAAATCTCATTCGATATATGTGAGGGCTGTGATACTGACCGGGTGCCTAAACCGAAGCAGGTGGTTTTCTTAGGGGTTTACTCCCCGAGCCTTCGACATGAAGGTCTGATCCGCAAGGCAGTGGAGCATCGTAAGGAGATGCAGTCCCATGGAAGCCGGTGACCAACAATTGGTTCATACGCCATTTGTTCCCGCAGAATACTGGAGCCCATGTGCACCATTGGTTTGGAATCCGATTAAAACGCCGGACATTCGCTTTTCATCCTCTCATTTTCGTAAACAACACCCCTGCCACGAGAAGGCAGTGAGTAGGACTTCCCTGGCAGAGGCTATATACGCGTGGCCATATGTGAGCATTTCGAGAGGTAGAGCGAACTCTCCCCACTCTCGGCCATACGAGGACATTTGGGGGCGAGTGTTACATCTTATCTAATTACTTTTTAATGATTACTCATATGTTAACTTTACAATTAGTAATAGCTCAATAATAATAGAAAAACTCACATAAGGAGTACATTTATCTTTTTTAAAACTATGAAATGTTTCTTCAGTGTTAATCAGTATTCAAGCCTTATTTGACATTAAACTATAGAGAGATTGACTACAGTAAACATTACGTTCATTTTAAAAATTTCATGATTACTAGAATGTTGATTACCAATAGAAGCGTTAAAAATTAGAGAATTGGTTGATCAATATTATTTTGGTTAGAATCTTTTAAAGTTAAATCAGTTTTAATTGGATACTCAGTTCACACTTCTGTTAACCCATAATTTATCTATTCCATATTTCAATTTATTTGAAATGAATTAATAAAACAATTTTAACTTTATTACTGTATCAAGAATTTGTAAAACTCGATAACTTATCAGATTAAAATCAAATCTTCAATATTATTAAATAATTATATAATCACGAGAATAATTAGATCTTACAATAAATGTTTATAGTCGTTACCTGTGAATTCTATCTGAAATCATAGTTCATTGAATATGGTTATCTATAGATTAGGATTCATCTAAAAAAAACGTGATTACTCTATCTACATTGAACTTTGATTTATTATCTCATTTAGGAAAAAAAGTATATTTGAATGTACGATTAATGCAATAGTTATACTATTTCGACCGAATATAATAACAAGAGAAAAGATGAATATAAAGCGATAAGATTTACTGTAATAAGTTAATCAAGATAGTCATGGCATGAGAATTATTTAATCTATATTGTTTAAATCCTCCTTGTCAAAAATAATTGGATTTCATAGTACGTATATCAACAGTTAGTTATTTAATTTAATCCCATGTTTTAGTCTTATTATACCTATAATTTTCTAATCTAATCAATCAACTCCACCATATACAGAATAAATTGTAAGAAAGATACAACTTAGCTTTTTCGCATATTAATAGTTAAATAAGTTACTTTTGTATAACAATGAATCTAACTAACATCGAAAAAAAAATCAAAAGAAAGCTTACAGTAAAGGCTACATAACATTGTCATAAAACATTTGTCTATCCAAAGATTCTACAAATTACATTACGCAATTCTGTTAAGTTCAATTATTTAACTTCCACATTTCTAATTTTCTTTTCGTCTTTGTCAGGATATGGTAAAACGTATTGTGTTCTCTACTCCTCGCAAAGTTTATGATTTTATACTGAAAATATAAGTAATGTTTAAAAAGTACTTAGGAGGTCTAAATACTAGTCTTTCACTTGAAGTGAAAGCACAAAGCAATGTTAAATGGGTATATAGTATTTGGATATTGAAAATGTTAGATACTACAATGGAAAGGTTGACTTGATTGTCCCTAAATATTCTACTTATGTTGTTTTGATGACCTTCATCATATAAACCATCAACTCAATTGGTTGAAACATGTCATATATAATTACGCACAGCCTACCTGGATGTCCAATACTGGAACGAAAGTTGTAAGTGTTCATATGGCCCAGGATCTGACTTAGTGATATAGTCTCATCTATACCTCAATTGAATTCACCTTTAACTATATTTTTCATGCTTCCGTTTTAGTGAATAATATTATTTTCTCTCCCCTTCTGACCTTGTTAACCCCCTCTCTAGATTTGTTAATGTGAAGTGGGTTGTTACTCATCTGTGTTATTTTCAACGTTATTTATAACTGACGGTCAATCTTCTGTAAATGCTATTCTTGTCGAAATAATATTTTTTAAATCTAAGATTATAATGGGCATTATTATCTTGTAGACTTGCATGGAGATGACAACACCTATGTGTGCATCAGGGCCGGTAAACATCATGCCTCCATTAAATTGGGATCTTAATTCTTTCTCAATCTCTTGTCAAAATCGATTTGGTGTAAGTCCACGCGTTGAATGGCCAAAAGTTGAATTTTGGAGTAAATCAGTACATACTATTACCAACATAATTTTCAGGTAAAACACAAAACGTCTTTGTTATTTTTTCTAAAGAGTAACATTTTTTTAAATATAGAACCAGAAATAATCTTTTAGTAACAATTTTACATGTAAAACCTGTCTGTAAATGAACATTTGGTATAACATTTGAATTATATGGAGTCATGACGCTTACATGGGGAGGAAATGAAGGAACTTTCACAACAGTAAGGATTAGATCAGCAATTTAATTATGATAAATAAAGCATCTAAATTTGAACTACCAGGTTAAAAGTTTGGAAAGTATTCCAGGTGTTTCCATTTCAGGAAGAGACTAACTTCACTAGCCTTCGTCAAAATATATAAGCTAAAGTCGAGTCCATAAACCTGTGCTTCGTGGTTGCTTCACATCAGCACTTAATAACAAACGTTTCTTATCATGTTGATGTCTTTCTCCAGTCTTACCGGGCATACATTTAGTAATCTCAGTATTTAATCTAGAAATTTACCTAGACCAATGGACCTGTTATTAAAATTTGTACATCAAGTCATATTGAAGTAAGATTTAAATTTGTTGCTATCACGTTACTTGGTTCAGACTCAGTTGACTAATAATATTGGAATTCTTAAACGGTCAGTCAGCAATTCAGTGTTGTTAGCTTAAAAATATGTTAAAAATATATAGATCTTTCTATGTATACGTATGCAGGTATGTACGATTTCTTTAATTCAGCACATGAGACAATATTTTTATGTTGTTCACATGTAATTTAATATCTTTTGTCAGTAGTTGTCTTTTAGTCATCTAACCGTTCCAACCTTCCAAAGTTTTTGTTTACCTTAAAAAGACATTCCTAACATTGTAAGTTATTATTTATTGTCAGCAATCACTTAAAAATATGTTTGGTAATTGCATCATCTAGGTTGCGGTTCGTATGTCTATTTTTTTCAATACATGATAGTAATAACTGGCTATTTTGCATGCGAATATATGACAATGTCACTTAAACATTACTCCATGTTTAGATTATTGAAGATGAATTGTCTAAATTACTGTATCAATGCTCTGTGTACTCCTTAAAACTTTATTTCTGCATTGTAAGACTCTCACTAGTCTAGACACTTGATTCAAAACTTCTTCCTTTATTGTCTTAAGCCTAATGTACATATATCAGTTTGATGAGCCTCATCATCATAGCTTTTCATTAATAAGTTTTACGCCTCATAACGTACATTTTCTACGTTCAGTTTGGAGTTGAATGTACTATTTTCTTAATGCTAAAAAGGATGTCAATATTCTTGTATTACGCTTCAATTAAGTAGTCTATTTGTTTACGATAGAATATTTAAATTCTTTAATAAATTAATGGATATGTTTCTTCTTATCTTATTTCTAGCAATGGTGAAATTGATCCATGGTCAGCATTATCAATTACAAATAATAGTTATGTCCCATTTGCTACAGTCATTAATATTTCTGATGCTGCTCATCATTTAGATTTGAGAACTCCTAACCCGGCTGATCCTCAAAGTGTGATTAAAGCAAGAGAAATTGAAAAACAGAAAATAATCCAATGGATAAAAGAATGGAAAATTAAATACAAATTATTAAAATTTTTCAATGGCATCAGATCATTCATCTCTTTACTAGATTACCTTGGCTAATGTTTAAAGAAATATTTTGTATTTTTTGTTGTTACAATTTTCATGATAATAATCCTAATTTTAAACTGACATTATAATTTATAATCAAATTTTTTACACCTTGAAAAGTAGTTTTTCATGATTGATATAATTTACTCATACAGTGTTGTTGGACGTATTGAAACAAGTTGAAAAATTCGTTCATTTAAATAGTTAGAAATGATTGTTGGTTATAAAACGTAAAGTAAACAACGCTCTAGTAGGTCTTTTTCTGCTCTGCAATTAGTGAACACTAAGGTTTCAAGCCAAATGTGGTCAACAGCGTTATGTACTGTTACCGTTATTCTTAAAACATTGAGATCATGTAAAGAATGTTTATATCTGATAAAGGAATTACGCGTACATAGCTTATTTTACAACTTCATATTATTGTGTTGAGTAAATTTATCTTATATCTATGAGTTTATTATTTTCAAATAACGTACAATACATTGGTTGTCTCAACGGATAATGGTGTTGCAAGTTGGAAATGTAGTGTAACGTACCCTTTAAGTTTTGTATGTGATTATAAGCAAACCAGAATAATGAAACCAACAATGAATTAAACCTTAATGCATCGGTAGCTAATGATACTGTTTTCAAGATATTTCTGGCATATACTGGTAGTCAGGTGTAAATAACTTGCAGAATTTTCTCTAAAGAAGTAATCAATAATGAATATACATAATGAAATAGGGTGTTGTGCACTTTGTTAGCAAATGTAATCGAGTGATTCAGTAATTACTTATCGACTTTCTGTCTTGTTTTAATGGGTGGACTAAATGTTTGCTTAATTCCACTTGAAGACTATGTAAAAGATTGGATCAAACCCTATTGTGATTTCTTGATCCGAGATAAGTAACTGTCTAAGGTCCACATAATAATCACGCCAAACCATATTCAAGCTATGCAATACGCACTTGTTCATTTAGTAGGTAGTATTCAAAGGCATAGCGTGTGTTTTACATCTACATCCAAAGTACTTTTACAAGATTAGTAAGAGGCTGTGTTTGCACTCATTCTTGCTAGTAAGCAGTTAGGAGTAGTCGAGCTCATTTATTTGGATAGGTATCTAATTCCTGATGATGGTGTTGTTAAAGAGGTGAATTTATAACGAAATTCAGAACTACCTATGCAAATCTGCTTCATCCTTGACGCCTTTATGATGCTACCCTGGCTGTAAAGGGTCAGATTTACAATGCGTCGGTTAGAGCAGTCTTGCTCTAATCTTGTGAAACCCGACCTCCGAGTTGAGAGTGGTGAGCGACTTTCTGTGTTTGATTATCGTTGTCTTTGAAGGATCGCTGACAGTGACAACACCAGGTTATTATGCAGAAGTTTGGCAATGTATATTCGAGCACTGACAATAATTCGATTGGTGTCAACATTTTGAAACACCGGCTTCGGTGGTTGGTTATGTACTAGGAATGTCGTCTCAGCTAATTCCACGTCGTGCCTTAACGCTGGGAATAGTTGGGGAAAGTGGAGAGGTGGTCAGCGCATGCCGTTGTGTAGGAGGAAGTTGTACATGACTGGCTTCTGCTTGGAGTCGTGGAGATGGTGCAACGTAATACATGAAACGTTATCAGATATTGGTCAGAATATATAATTATTGAAAGCTTTTTTCAACTAAATAAAGTGAACCGTTCGATGGGAATTGTTCACGTCTACATACTTTGACCATAGGTTCAAGTTAAATAGGATTATTATGAATTGTTTTTTAACGTTCATAAACTATAATACCCGATTAGTTTGCATATTGATTAATTAATTGTTTCCACATAATAGTGTGGGTATTAGTGAATTTCCCTGTATTTATGATTTGGCACTTCATTAATTTTTGAATCGTTTAGATATTAATCCGTTTAAGATGAGTCAACTTTCATGTATTAATAAATAGTTATGATGGCACTTGAAAATACGAAGATATTTCATGATTTGAAAAGATGGTGAAGCCAGAAGTGAGCTGTATAACTTTGTCGAACTTCGTGATTAAGGTTGAGCAAGGCATTTTGAGTTATTAAATCTCTTCCATTGTTCAGTGTATCTGACTTTATTTCAGATATGAAGGCGTTTATCCGTCGCTTTCTGTCGAATGACTCATTTGTTATATACCGTAAAAATTGTATACAGGATGTACTCAAAATAGTTTCTTAACAATAACGTCCAGATTTTTAAAAACCTTTAATATTAAATATGTTATCGTTTATACGTTAGACATTCACGAACTATGTAGTGGAGTCCTAATTGCGGAATGTTTGGTGTTTTGAAAATTCTTTAAATAAAACCAATGGAATTCATATATGGAATATCTGATTCTTTTCAATAAACGGTGAAATTAAAGAATGTAAATGAACCATCTGTTTAATGGAAATAATTTGGTCTAAACAGGTGGGGACTGTACAAGGCTTGTTATTCACCATGTACAAATTTAGTGCTTAGATTAACAAAGACATACTTGTTATAGTATTAGATAAGCCAAATGATTTGATGATGTGCTCTGACAAACAAATGTTAAGATTGGAGTTATTGTGTAACAAATAGAAGTGGACTCGATGGTAAAGCATTTTTCTCAAGTCTCTAAAGTATTCAGGGCACCTAAAAAAATTGCTAATCGATATTATCCGCAAACATTTAACAAATTCTTAAATGGCACAACCGAAATCAAGATTTTGAACTGTATCTCATCACAAGTATCAATGGAATTAATTTCTAGTAAACCACTTATCAATAACACATAATCCGTTGGATTTAGTGTCACCTTTTAACTTCTATTGGGTCTTATCCAAATGATCGAGTTCTTTTTTCTATCATATTAAATACCTCTTTTTCTTAGTTCTTCATTAACATCAATGTATAACCATACGATGTTGTTTCATCCTTAGTGTTTTCCAGTAAATATCCTAATAAGTTTATTTTTAGATCAGTAGAATGATGATGGAGAGAGAGAGAGAGACGGTGAGAGTAATACAAATAACTAATTTATTCAAAATATACATTACGATAATTATCATTATTATTCAGTATGTTTGTATTATATTTATTATTCAAAAAAAATAAGTATAAAGCAACATTGTTTCTCACTTAGAAATTGAGAACTGTTTAGTACACAATCAATACTATCAACTGGTTAATAATAATAATAATACTATTGTTATTATATATTTAGAGAATTCATCATCTAAAATATTTGGTCAGTAATGAATTCCTATGGATCTCAGATGTTTTCTTTTACATTACAATAGACAAGTAATTTGAACTCTAATAGTTGAACAGACATAGTGACTTCACTTTAATGATAACACTTTGAATTTCCATGGAAAAATTTCATTCTTGTTATGTTTTCTTTTAAAATACTATTATCATTACAATTAATGAACAATAATGTACAATTTTATAATCTATTCGTGTTTTCATTGTTGTATTGTATCAAGAGACTAAAGTATTTTGTTATTTATTGCGTAATTACAAGAATGTAAAAAAAATTAAATTGAAATTTTAAAGTTGAGTAATTTTTCGAATTAAATATTCAATGGTTTATTGGACTATTTATCTTTTTAGTTTGTTAATATTCACTAATTTCAACATTAATCAACATGATGATCTTGGTGTATTTATCATAATCACTATGGGGAACAATAATAATTTTGAATGTGATTTGTTATTATTAGATTCAATTATATTTTTAATTAATATTAACAAAAGAATCATAATCAAGGATACATGATGTAACAGAATTTGTAGAAATATTATCATTCCATTGATTAGTTGTTTTGATAAATTTTTGTTTATCAAATAAAGTTGAATATTGTAGTTCACTAAAATTAATTTTACTATTATCATCATTTTGTTGTAAAATCCTTTCATTGTTGGAATATGATAGAGTTTTTGATTTCTTTGTTTTCATTCTACGATTTTGAAACCATACTTTTACCTTGTTTATATGTAAGAAAAAATAAATCACATATATTACTATTAAACAAACTTTAATTTGTGATTATTGTACTTTATAGGTAGAACTTTGCCTGGAGCTCCTTATTGGCTACTGCCGGTTCCAAGTTCAGATAAAGGAGGAGGGTTGAACATGGGGTTAGCGACCATATCCCATAGGAAACTAAGTGGTTAAAAAACACTAACCAGAAAAACTAATTCAAACCATTTAAACTCTGTTCTGGAATTTGGAAAGTCTTCAGTTAGAAGAGTTATGACACTTGATGCTGAAAATCGAGTTCGTTCGGAAGTCACGAGGCTGATGCCCCTTCTGATAACCAAAGCAACCATTAATTTAAGTACATGAAATGTTCATACAATGTGAGAGACCAGGAAAGTCTTCCAGACTGCTGCAGAAACTTTTACTTTTAAAAAGACAAATGGTAAGAGTACAACTCTGGAGATTGTTTAGTAATCGAGTATACACGTAATTCCGTTTGAATTTATTAAGCTGTTGATTCACAAGTAGTTTTATATGTGTCAATTTGCCCCCAAATGTCCTGGTATGGTCGAGGGTGGGAAGAGTCAACTCGCCCTCTCCAAATGCTCTTACATGGCCACATGTATACAGTCACTGTCAGGAAAGTCCTACTCACTATTTTCTCACGGTAGGGGTGTTTTTTACGAAATTGAGAGGACGAAAAGTATTATCTGGTGCTTTAACCGGGTTGATGGGTGCGGATGTTCCACTAAGAGAAGTTGGAAATTCCTCACATTAATCGAACGATGAAGTGTAGTGCGTATATATTTGGTGCCCTCTTGTTTATTTGTTTTGAGTAGATAAATGAAATACTCAATTATTAGCTCATATTTGGGTAATGATTGCGATATGTTTTACCGTTTTATAAATTACGGTTAATTAATTACAAAACCTTATACAGCTTGTTTTTATTTGTAGTTTATACCTATCTAAATCTATGTTTTACTGTATGATATAGTTTTGCGTCTATGAATTTTAGAGTTTGACCAACAAACACATTGCGCCGATAATTCGAGGCAGACATCAAAGGGATGAATAGCAACTGGAATGGAGAGTTCAGGACGGAGCTGTTTATAGAATCCTTGTCGATGGCCTTTGCTCTACAGGTAAGAGGGTTAAGTAACTTAGTGAGTGACCTTTATATAGATGAATTTCGTGTGTTCAAATATCAGTATGAGATCACCGAACGACTTAAAAATCAAACTTATAAAGTAACTAGTCTGCCAAACTTATCTACTAAAACTTATTAAAAATATACTACCAACTGAACTTCATTGTCGTTGAATTTCTCTGAATTTCAAAAACTACTAGATTATGCATCAGTAAATAATCTGCCTTTATTTGAAACCATGTAAGCATTTTGAATAAATCATCATAATCATTATACTGATGGAAGAATAATATTTCAGTGGAGGAATCTCAATGTCAAAACTTTTATATATTATTCAGGATAAATTACATTGAAATAATTTCTCCGTAGTTTTTAGTTTATGATAACTTGTCATACAATGATGATTTTAATTAGGAGAACTTAGTATTTGTGTCTGAGGTTCTCTCAAGAAGTCGAAAATGTCTAAATGAAATTGAGCTAATCAAGTTGCTTTTTTCAAACTTACAGTATTTTCTGTTGTATAAGTAGTGACGTTTAATTTCATATGTAGTTGATGACTGTCATGGTGTCAGATTGAGATTGTGAGAGCCCATCTGTTAACCACAAGAAATGTAAACATTTGTAGATCAGTCGTTGTCATTCAATTAGATTCTTTTTTCACCATCCAAATCAATTGTCTACAAGTGTCGAAATCATGTTCGATATTTGTAGTATTTACGCGTACATTTAGCAATACATTACAACCTCCTTGCTTTAATAAATTCACTTATTGCTCACAGTGAATAACAGTCCTTATGCTGTTCGAACCTTTAATGTTCTAAAAAGTTCCCTAGATGTTGAATCATGTTTGTTCTTGGATGATCTGATTGGTGAACTTATTACTAATCGTAATATTATTTTAGAAACTTTCAGTTGTTTTAAAAAAACAAAAACAAATAACAACATAATTAAAGCTTTTTATATTTTCACCATCTTATTGTTCTTAGAGTTCAACTGTTGAATGTTGTACGAATGCAAAAATCCTCTGAGAAATCAACATCACAAGCGTTTAGTGTAATATCCATTGAAATTTCAAATCAAATAGTTTGTTGTAATAAATCTGATGTTTCCTTGTTTTGGTCAATTTTACTACTAGTGAATGTCGTTAATTTAGAAAATCTTGAATGAGAAAAGATTTAAACCAGTTGTCATTTAACTATCGATATGGAATCCTAAATAAGAAATTTTTTTCGAAACCTAATTACTACTCAAATCTCAATATTTTTTTATCACTGTATATGTTGTCTTAGTTTATGTGTGTTTCAATTATACACAACTGTCATTTAATTTCAAGTAAAAGTTTATATTGAACTCAAGACTCAAATGATTCTTATACGTATTGAAACAAAGTAAATTTGTTGATTTCATACAAAAGACATTCATAAAACTAACCAGAAAAGTCAGTAATTGACAAACTATCTATGAAGAAAATAATTTTACTATAGATTGTTCTGTAATAAATACTTCTTGTTCACATGTCAAAAGAAATGATATCTTGTGTTTATTAGTTGATATTAAGTTAACTACAAGAGCTGAAGATCATGAGTTCAATCTTTGAATATCCACTGCTGAAGAGTCTCATAATAAGATTAAGCAGCTGTCTAGTGCTTCCTGACAGACTAGTGCTTCTAGCTTTATTCAATTCATTCTATAAAACTACAAAAATGTATAATTAATGTAAATATATGAATGATATATATTTGATAATTTTTGTAACATAATCTTACTTGTCTTTCACTTAATTGTAACTTATTGGAAATTTCCCATCTTCTTTGACGAGTAACATATGGCATTAATGCATATTCTTTTTCTAATATCATGATTTGATTTCTTGAATAAGGTTTCCTTGACTTTCTTCTAGATTGACCGACTTTTAAAAAGAAACATTGAATGAAAATGATCTATGTAGATGTTTTTCACATATTAAAACAAGTTCTTCTAATCCCTAATTTAAATGTTACCGTTATCAAATAGCAAACATCGAAATTTTTACAGTACTGGTAAATTTACTAATTCCTTATTGAAGATTCTGAATCCTTGGTTGAAATTATTTAATGTATACCTTTCCTGGGAAATTAATTTACTGAAATATGCATGGTAAAATCTCTGTGGAGAGTTGACTCTTCCTCTCCAAATGCACTCACACGGCTACGTGTGTGCAACCACTATCAGGGAAGTCCTGCTCACTGTCTTCTCACGGTAGGGCTGTTCCTTACGAAATCGAGAAAACGAAAAGTGAATATCGAGTGCTTTAAACGGATTGGTGGACACAGAGGGGAGTTGGAAAACCCTGGTTCCAAATAAATGATGCACTTGAACTCCAGGATCCTAAGGTAACTAATGGCGTATGAACCTATTGTCGGTCACCGGCTACCACGGGACTGCAGCTTCTAACGTTACTCCACTACCTTGTGGATTAGACCTTTAAGTCATAGGCTCTGGGTGCGGCCCCCTATGGAAACCACCTGCTTCGGTTTGGGCACCCGGGCAGTATCACAGTCCTTACACAAATCGATAATATCTACTGCCGGCCACATTGTTACTGTGTGGTGCATAGGTATTTTTTGCCTCTTCGTACCAATGTTTGTTTGTTCCAATAAGTAAATAAATTCATAAACACATGTATAATATAATAGGAATGTCATCAAATACATTTTATGTAATGGATTATCTATCTAAAGTTTTGTAAAGAGCTACAACTAGTAAACATTCAAAAAATCAATCAATCACTGAATTTATACTTTTAAAACTCGAACAAACAAACATATGAAGTAGATTGATATCGGTATGGTAGCATAACCGCAAAAACAGTAACGGAATTTTTGTATCAATAATTGTTCAGTTTAAATATCTTTGTTTTATTAAGGCATGATATACAATATCATACAAATATCATTTATTGAAAGATGATCAATGGTCAAGAATGTATATTACTTCTTATTGTTAAATATATATATATATATATATATATATATATATATATATAGTCTAACTAATTGGCAATCTTGAAGTTCGTATCACCCAATCACCTTATTTAGACAGTTATTGTAAAATAGGAAGAATCGGACAGTTGTTGTCGTCGCTTATGAAACCTCTTGGCAGTACACATACACAGTTGCATAGGGGATTGGAATCGAGACATTCAGGTATTACGACGAATACTTAGCCTTTACATCACTTTATTGGTACTCTATTGTTGATATTTTTAACTTCAGTCGGTTCACAATATTATGCACTCATCATCGAATGCCAGTGGTAAATGACTGTCTTACTTCCGAAGTGGTTGCATCCACTGGTCATGAGTACTCACTAGAAATCCAGGAATTATCCTTCGAAAAATTCACTAGTGAGCACGTTATTGTTACTAGAATAGTGGTTTTGTTGTGATTGCTGCATTTCATAGTCTGAATCACGAAATGACTTTAATTACTTAACTGAATTTCAACTCAGAATGAAAATACTGCTAAAAGCATTATAAACGAAAAAAACTATGTTACCCATTATCAAATCCAGCCCTTCTATTCATAATTGACTAGTTTGAAAATTATCAGCAATTAATAATAATTGAATAATTGGTTGCTGTTATGATATATTTTTAGGAATATAAGCTATTCACATAACTGAAACTTATAGCCTCTCATCTTTTTCATTATCGTAATATCATTAAGTTGGCCAGTTTGTTTTCCTAACTCCAATTAATTATTCACATGTAACGAATCGTTCTACATATAGTTATGTACATTTAAATCATATCTCAAATACAACGTAGATAATACGAATGATTTCATGCACAAGCTTAACTAAATTAATACAGAATATCAATTATCAGGAAACTTGGGTCCAGAATTTCCTATCGATTATTTCCAATCACCTAACATCATAACTTCCTATATTTATAAAAATCGAAATATTGATTTAACAAACTGAAAATAATACAACCATAAAGATCTTTATCTTGAGAACATTTGATATCTCCTTAACTATTCTAATCTTTAAGTATTCATCACATTACCTTAAAGTTCTGAAATAGATTCTCAATATGATAATGAATACAATCTGTTTCGAATTTCCATATGACATGGCTTAAAGTCGTTTGCAATGGCGCAGGTGCATTCACTCTTTGTGTTCTCCCAAATTCTAATCTTCTGAATTCTTCATGTCCCTTTTTTCTTCTTTCCAAATTTATTTCACTGAATTATACTCTTTAAATAACATCTCCAAACCCTAATCTTCCCGATCGCTGCTTATACTCTTGCTACCTCTACCACTACGGGATTTGGATCGACAACTGCATCTCTGTGTTAAGGTGGTGTGGCAACTCGAACTGATGTACGTACGTACGAAGTTTTACGTTGTTACTGACTGACTGACTGACTGACTGACTAAAATTTAATCGGTATATTCTTTTTCTTTAATTTTCAATTGTATCCCAAATAAGATTAATCAATAATAACTTACTATGATCATTTGTTATTGTTGTTGTTGTTTTATATATTGAATTAGTTTTATTCTGATGATCCTTTAAATTATAATAATAATCCATTTCCCATTTATTAATATTATTTTTTAATTGATTATCATGATTGTTTGTTAAAATGCATAAATTATCATTTGGTACATTCATGATTACATTTTTAACCATAGATGTTAAAGAATTTCTATGTTCAAATGAATGATTATTATTATTATTATTATTATATAATAGATAATTATTAGAAACATTAAAATATTCTTTAGGTTTATTAAATTCATGAAAATCATAAAAATGATGAAGAGATTTTGAAGGACGATTTGATTTCATATAAGAATTAATGATTGTTTGATCTGAATGAATGAAAGAATTATTTGTTGAATCATAAATAGAATTTAAAAAATTATTGCCATTTTTTAAATAATGTATCCCTGATGATGTATTCATTATTCTTTTACTTTGTTTTGTTGTTGTCGTTGTTGTTGTTGTTGGTGGTGGTGGTGGTGGCGATAGTGGTGGTTGTTGTTGTGATGGTGGTAAATTTGAAATCAATTCAATTATTGTGTAATATTTGAATGAAAAAAAAATTTATTTATGCACTGTATTCTTCATAGATTGATAATTAGCTTAAGAACAAATAAAAATCAAAAGATACTCAATTGTTATGCCAGATTTGTTTAAAATAAACCACAATAACGAACATATACAATTCTTTATAGGCTAGAACACGGGAATTTTAAATCAATCAATAACCAAAATTTCACTGTTTGAAATTATGACTCATGACTCATAATTTCTAAAACCTCCACAAAACCCATTCTGATAATCATCTACTCGCTAGTGATTGACTTCAAGAGATACTCCTGGAGTTCTAGTGAGAAGCCGTTACCAGTGGAGTTCAATCAGGTCTGTTGTGAGATATTAACTCACTGAAGACAATGGTGTACGGTGGTGCAATTCCGTGAATTGGTTGGAGTTAGGCATTAACACCGATGGATGCCGGCTGAGTGGTCCAGTTGGTTAAGCACCTGGCGCGACACTGATAGGTCCTGGGTTCGAATCTCGCGGGATCGTGGATGCGCACTGCTGAGGAGTTTCATACTAGAACGAAACAGTCGTCCGGTGCTTACAGGTTTTCCATGGTTGTTTAGCTTCAATTGACTCATGATTTCAAACAGTGAAATTTCCAAAATCTCCACGAAATCGTTTCTGATAATAACCAAAATATCATTAAATATCAATTCTTAAACCCGATAGTCAACAATTTCTAACTTCAATTACTAAATTTCCTATCAGAAAAAACCATAATTCGATATGTCGTAGTTCTCAATTGTTTCATGGTCACTGTTAATCTGTGATGAAAGAAGACTACATCACAGGAAGATTTATTAATTATATTATTCGAAATCATATACTGATTTGTAAAATATGAAAACAATACATTGATACAACATTTGCACTTTTTTCTTGAATTGTCTCTTACAAACTCTATCGTCTTTCTATTCCTGTTGCCACCCCGATTGCTTCTGTTTTATTCCTTCTGTTAGTAAGAATCCTACTTCCAGTTTCTGATACATACTACTTATATCTATCTGTATAAGTAGCACACACCACAATATTATTTCATAGCTAACCTTGAAGATTGCTTCCATTGTCCGTTAATAGATGTGAATACATCAACTGAATTAAAAAAATAATTTACTTATCAACTGTATCAAAGTCTATAATAATCAAAAACTGATTAAACTTTTTAAGTTGGATAGTGTTGAAATCATCAGATTTTGACGCTATTTTCTGCATAAGATACAACTTTGTACCCGCACGGAAATTATATTTCTTTTTTTTTAGTGATTAGAAAAAGTTCATTTTCTCATTCATTAACAATATCTGAAATCAATTTTTTTTTCGCTTATATATATTGTTCTAAATATCTGGAATAACTTCATATTGAACGCTATTACAGCATAAAGTTCATTTTTGGAATTTGAACATTACTTTCAGTTGTTAAAGTAGTTGGGAGTGTAAAATAGGGTGATCCTATAATTTATGGACGACCTTTGAGCCACGTTAAAATGACCTTGAGGATGTTCACCTATGAACTAGAATTAAACGAGCGTTATAATCCGATGTGAGGTATAATAATTATGATTTGTAGTTGATAGTTATCGTTAGGAATTAGATTTAGTGTTTTCATCACGGACTGACATCAGCTTAAATGCCGAGACATTATTTAGCCAAATGGATGAATGAATTTTGCGCCAAAACTCAAGACTCGTTATCTTATAGGTGATTGATTCGTCCATAAATTATAATCTCTCCTACGCCTGATATCTGAATGAGTGAATAAATGCCCAAAGTTTACGTGATAAAATAAAAATTTACACAGAAGCACTACTCAATATGAAATTAGTTTTTTCAAAAGTACAGTACAAAGACTATATAACAAGTATGAGTAATAATAATACTGAAAAAAATAGTCCCAATATAACATAACCGATTTAATAATTATCATTGCTCACTGCGTGAATGTCTTGGAAATTTTCTTGATTCAAAAAATACTAATATATATACATGCAGGTGAAGATAGTCAGTGTGGCACAAGCATTTGCATCAATAGGCCTCAACATATACAAGGGAAAAAGCAAGATACTCATATACATCGCGGAGAGCACCAACCTAACCACACTTCATAGAGAAGCTCTGGAAGAGGTGGAAACTTTGAGGTACTGGAAAGTACCATCGATGAAGGATAAAGATCCGATGCAGACGTAAAGGCGAGGATTGGCAAAGCAAGAACATCATTTGTACAATTGAGGAACTTATGGAATCAAAAATAACTGTCAACCAACGTCAAAATCAGAATCTTCAATACGAACATCAAGACAGTTCTGCTGCGTGGAGCTGAATCTCGGAGAACGACTATGACCATTATCAAAAGATTACAGGTTTTTATAAACAAAAACACACTGTGTTGAGAATCGGAAGCAGACATCAAAAGGATGAATAGCAAATGGATGATGATAAATTGTGAAGTCTATATCTTAATCGGTTCTTATTTTTATTTTTTTTCAATAAAACAAAATAGTTTAGTATAACCCTTATTTCAATTAAATCAAGAAATTTTTTAAGATTTAAATAATTAAATTTCAATATATCACGAATAGATTTCAGTTGGATTTTGAACCGTGGATTATAACCTCGTGGTGGAGTTCAGCTACTACGAGTGTAAAACAGTTACCCACTAAAGAGGACTGTAGATGGTCGCTCAATATAGCGGATTGAATAAAGTTAAACATTAATATCACCATATGTCGTCCCAGTGACTTAGACATTAAGTGTCCGTATGTTAGACCGGAAGTCACGGGTTCGAATCCTATCTGCGCACTGCTGAGGAGTTCCTTATCAAGAAGACCATTCAAAACATCCAGGTTTTCACTGGTGGTCTAACATTGATCGATTGATGATTTTAATGAAATATATTTATTTTTATTAAGAAAAATTTTATATATATATACATATTGAAACATACCTTACAAAATATTCTTTTTATTGTGGTTTCATGTTACCTTAATTATTTTTTTAAAAAGATGTATGAATATGAATCCCATTTTCAAAAATGTCTTTATCATTTATTGCAATTTAATGAAGCGCAATAAACTTTATATATATATATATATATATATATATATATATATAAACGAATGGTATATAACTATATCTACAATGTTGTCTCCTTTTCTATCTGTATTTTCACGTCACTCCATATTAATCTGTTTATTAATTTGTACATAGCTGTTGTCCAATGTACATTATAGAAAAAATTATAAATACGTTTACACCTTCAGTAAACTGTCATTCAACACTTATCTATAATTTCTCACCTATCTAATAATTACTATAATATTTAGGTGAAATATACTTAAATGATAAGCTGTAAATCAGGTAGTATATTTATGCTGAAATAACACAGTCATTATATAATTATATGATAAATATTTATTCCTAGTATAGGGGTTGTGTAGATTATTAAGTTTTTGATTGAGATCATGAACCGATTGATGTTAGACCACCTTTGAAAACTTGGAAGCACTGGACGGCTGTTTTGTCCTATTGTGGGACTCCTCAGCAAATTCGTGGATTGGTTGAGGTTAGACATTAACACCATTGGATGCCGGATCAGCGGTCCAGTATGTTAGGCGTTCGCGCGCGAGACCGAAGGCACTGGGTTCGAATCTCGCGAGGCGGGATTGTGGATGTGCACTGCTGAGAAGTCCCACAATAGGGCGAAACGGTCGTCCAGTGCTCCCAAGTTTCCAAAGGTGGTCTAACATCAATCGGTTCATGATCTCAATCAAAAAATATTTATTCGATGCATTGTGTATTTTTACCCCATTAGCACAGAGATTACAGTTCATACAAGTATTATTTTAACACTTACACATGTTATCTGCTAGATCTATGAAAGAAATTCTAAATGATCCTATCATGCATAATTAATCAATGAAAGACTTATTCTACATTATATCCTGTTAAATATTGAAGAACTCATTGTTTTCTTTTAGACAAATCGATCATTAATATTGTGAATATCAGTATTTTACATAAAGAGTTTTAATGAATTCAAATTTGATAATAATTTTTTCTCGCAATTCAAAACTTATCGTATATTTAACTGTCGATCAATGTCATCCTCTAGATGCTTCGAGTAGTATTCATGGATCCAGATATAATTGTGGAACTAAGTATTTACATGGGACTTTGAGGAGTTTTTACAAGATTTTAGAAGTAGATTACTTTAAGTTTACACCTGATAAGAAATAAACCTTGATGAATAATGGACAAAACTTTCAAAATTGTTTTCAAACAAAGAATGTCAAGATTAACTTATGTTCTTTCTAAGCAATTAGGATTCCATGTTTCAGACTCGTATACATAAAATTCCTGACTAATCTTTTTTCGCCCCATAATGATAACTATTTCAAAGAGAATACGCTTCATATCTAATCTCACGTTTTTCCAAAACCACTAATTTTTTAAATAGACACAACCTGTTGTTTGATAATTAAATTCAGGGTTTATAACTACTTGTTTTGACTTTAGTAGTATATTTATTTTCTTTCCATTTTATTATCGATTTACTCGTTATTTGCTACTGATAGAATAAGTTGTGATCACAACCACTTTTCGTTAGAAGAGAAAATATTTCTGAACAAAGCAAAAACAAAAAGGTTTTCAGAATTCATTCTATTTCGCCATTTCTCGTCAGCTACATACAACCTAAAATTACAACTATAAATATAATTATTGACAAATGTTTGGTATACATTAGTTTATGAAGTTTAGATAGATGTTTAAAGTATAAACAAAATCATAATAGTAAGAAGAATAGGGATATAAAGTGTATGAATAAACATGGTTAAGATTGATCTGTATTTATATTCAGGAAATTAATCATTCAAACGTTATGTAAAGGTAATGAAATGAATAAATGATTGGATAATCGCTCAAAATGATAAAATTAACAAGTATGTGAACATCAGTGAGATTATATGGAAGATAAATATCGGAACGAGGGAAATCTGATGCAGTCATAAAGGCGAGGATTGGCAAAACAAGGGCTGGATTCCTACAGTTGAAGAATATATGGGACTCAAAAAAACTGTCAGCCAATATCAACGTCAGAATCCTCAGTACGAACGTCGAGATAGCTTTACTGTACGAAGATGAAACGTGGAGAACTACTACAGCCATAATCAAAAAGGTACAAGAATTTATAAATAATTTTTACGCAAGATACCTATTATCCAATGGCCGAATACCATCATCAACAAACTACTGTAGGAGAGAACAAATTAGTTTCCACATGAAGAAGAAATAGGGCAGAGACGTTGGAAATGGATAGAACACACATTGAGGAAAGCATCAAACTGCATCATGAGGCAAGTGTTAACTTGAAGTCCTGAAGGGAAACGGAGAAGAGGAAGGCCAAAGAACACACTGCGTCGAGAATTAGAAGCAGACATGAAAAGCATGAATAGCAACTGGAAAGGATTTCCCAAGACAGAGTTGGATGAAGAGTACAGATGGGAACCCTATGCTACTCCACGAGGGGTAACATGTGTTAGTAAGTATATCGTCATCTAAGTTTATTTATATCATACTAACTGATTAAATTCATTTTGTCGTACTTGATATTTTTATACTACCTTTTAATATGTAAATACAATTCATTTAAGACGTTTATACTACCATTCTTATACACTATATACCAATTTCACTGTAACATCATATTCAATCATAGACACAGATAATTATTGTTTGTATTTATAATGATTGAAATGTTTCGATATTTTGATGATTAACTTTTGAATGACAGATAATCATCGTAAATAATAACTGTGAAATACTAATTACTTAGATAGGTCATTTATAATAAAATGCAGAGAACTAGTACGTTGTAGATTGGATATTCAGTCAACGTATCATTGGCAAATATTATGTTTATAATTTTTATAAACTATGGAATATTTTGATTTTTTGTTGTTGTGCATTCAGTACTGTAGTCCTATAGTCTTCGCCAATGAGCAACATTGATGCATCAACTAATCTTGGAAGTTCATTTTTGATTACTGTTGCACAGATGAATATACGCCGGGATTCGTAGACTTAGAATTCGTCTTTCAAGCATCCTAACTTCGACTGTATAGAGTTAAACAAAGTGTTAAATGTGAAAGGTTGATCTTAACAGCACTGTAAATTCACCCTTTCTGAATTTCTAAACTTAAACATTCAAACTTAAATACAATATTATTTAGCAGTCCATGCGGGAGAATATTAAGTCAGTTAGTTACGAAACACTTGTAAATCGGAATCTCAGTATTTGATACCCATTGAAGTAAACGGTACCGACAACTTTGATGTTAATGGTGTAATATTCAGTTAGTTGAATGTGTAAACTTACAACCTATTGTTTAGTAATTCAATTCGGGGCTTATAACTACTTTTTTGACTTCAGTAGTATATTTATTTGTTTTCCATTTTTAAACAACTTTTTAAAGTGAAAAGTAGATAAATGCTGTTAATTATTTCCAAGTGAACATTCAGAGTGTAAAATAGTTGGAAGAAAGAGCAGAATGAATCTTGTACAAATAATGATTGTTGTTAAAACTAGATATACACTTTCACTGCACTCCAAAGCCATCCCATTAAAACAGATATCATATAGATTTCACTAAACACGTTATTAACATACATTGATGATGCAGTCAGTGATTAAAAACTGGTCAACAAATATTACACTTAAGTTCATAGCCTTTTGGTTTGTATTCGATGAAGTTTAGTTGTATTAATAAAGGGAATGAACTCCGCCATATTGGTCGGAGTATATCGTTTGAAGTTTAAACTGTGAGTATTATGATCAAGATATTTAGACTTGCTGGTTAGTATCCAAAGAGAAACTGTGATAAAAGGTTTTTCAACACTGCAGTTATACTATAAAGCTGGACATACAATATTGTAAATAAAATAATTTTTCACAGAACACTCATTTTATGCTAATTATCACCGTTTTTTTAGAAGATTTCTTCGTATGTTCCCAGTAAAAATAAATAAAAATTGATCACCTATTCAATTGACCTCCATTGTACTGTGATTATGATTCATTTCAAATCGAAAAACTAAGATTTTTCTACAAAACATAAAGTTCGATTATTAATGTCTGTAATTAGGTATGTTAACTCAATAGTTTTTTCACAGAGATCAAAATCATTTATGCTCATATAACTGGAGACTTGTCAGTGCTGAATAATAAAAACTATGGATACAGTCATTTGTGAAGTTATATTCATAAACCGAATAACTTTTAACAGAATTATTTTCAGTATAACATGTAGCTACTTAATTCAATTTTTAGTAGTATATTACCAAACAATATATTTTGGGACGAATCACGTAGGCTCCAGGAATAAAAATATTAACTGAGGAAGAAGTTAAGAGGAGACGATATTTTTTTTTACAAAAACTTATATTCAACAAACGGAATACCTCCTGTTAAACAACTTAGTTGTCAACTTCAAATGGCATTCACTTCATAAGTGAAACGCAAATGAACAAATATCTTCATTTTATACATGTATTTTTATAAACATTATTTATAGACTCAACTAACTCTAAAATAAAGGCAATGATATATTTGAATGGAGATTAATATTGGTTAGTTTTTCGGTCATTTCGTTTCGTTGGCAACTTAACTAAAGTCTTTATTAAAGCATAAGACTATAAAGATGTAAATTTGTGGTAATGTTTTTATCAGATACTGAAACTAATTACAAATTGTTCTAGATCACTGTCGTTCACCATTTATTTTTGTAAATCAGGTCAGTCCGACTGTTCGAATAAAGTTGACTAGAACATTGCACAACTTTTCTATCATACCCCACCCGCATCCCAATTTCTGCAGTTAAATCCAAATGTCTGACTTATTTTTCAAGAAGGGAAGATGATAGGATGAACTATCAGTTCAATTCCAATAATAAGTGAGATGCTTACTAGTGCTCAATACTGGCTGAAATTAGGCTTAGTTTTCTTGGGAGACAAATATCTATAATAATGAACGAGTTCGTGCACATAT